TAATTCGAATACTTCCTGTCGTAATGTTGAGTAGCACACTAACTTCTTTAACTATTCTTCAGTCATTCGCCCATGCTTGACACCATTTATCACCGGAATCGACGTCGCCGAAGTCAAGTCTGTAATTAAGCTCTTTCGGTCTAACTAAATCTGTCCCAACAAAAAACTTGTACTTTGCTGCTAGGAGTATACGTACAAAGAGCCGAGATGCGTTTAAATGAACGTGTTTTTTCAACTAATTGCTATCTTATTCTATTTCCACTCCGAAAACTTCGGCGTCGTGAAAAAGGCGTGTCGTTAATATGGATATCGCCTTTCAGCGTTTCCTTTTTCAACCAGGCGGCAGCAAACATTTGTTTTTTCACATCTGACAAAACGCACGAAAATCGAAAACGCAAAGGCACTTGCGACATGACCGCAAGTTGACCTGCAACCGTTGCTACGATTTTATTCGGAACGGGCCTCGTGAGCTTTGAGTTGGGGTCAAAACCGCATCGCTGGGATTAGATTCTAGCACTGCGCACGTAGCTAGCGGTGCTCCTCTGTGGAAATGCAAATAAGCTTCCTCTTTCGCGATTTCCCGGTGGGTACATTCGACATCGGCACGACTACACACACCTGCCAATTTCAGAGGCGGTACGCGTGACAAGCGACGCTCGGCTCCGAGACGGAGCGGGAGGGGGAGGGGGACGCGTCATCTTAGTACGGGGACCGCAGACCGGAGGAGCACACACGTGCAGTGACTCAGGAAGCGGCACGCCGCCGCGGGGGACGGTGCGCTCACCACGTGTCCCGCCGCTTAAAAGACATCACACCCGCTGGGTCTGCACACTGAAGCGGACGCATCTGGGATCGGACGACATGTAGCTGCTGCTCCTCGCCCTGCTGGTGGCCGGCGCTCGGTCGGTCCTGCTCCCACGTCAGCCGCCGGCCGGCGCGTACGGCCGACCCGCGCCGCCGGCTCCGCACCCCGACCCTGTACGGGAGGTGAACCACAACCCGGGCGGCGGCGTCGCCGGGCCGCTGGGCGGTGTCGTCGGCTCGTGTGCCGCCTCGCTCCTCTGCGTGCCGCCGGCCGAGTGCAATCCGTACACGGGCTTCGTGCGCGGCGGCCTGCGGCTGGAGCCGGCCGCCCGGTCCCTACAGCCGACCGTGGCACTGCTGCGCTGCTACCGGCTGCAGGACGGCAGCAGGGGAGACGGCGTCTGCTGCCAGCAGCCGCACCTCGACGACCCGTGGCCCAAGCAGACAACGCCGCGGCCGTACAGGGTCCGCTACTGGGCCCGCTAGACCGCAGCCGCCGCTTACTGAGGGCTCTAGGACACGGCAGACACCACGGATGTGTCTTCCCGTGCTGTCCAAATACGCAGGATCATCAGCGAGCGCGCGCACAGCACAGGCGATTCTTCGAAGATGATCAGACTGTGACTCCATTGTCTTTAACTTTTTCATAACATTCTTTCCATGCACTCCCACATGCATAACGTTGAAATGTTCGTGTCCGGGCCCCATGAATGTACATAAAGTGATACCTCCGAATCACAGCCTGCGCGTGGTGTGATGATGTCGTACGTAACGCAGACACGATGCTTGGGCGTCACAGTAGTACCGGTTCGTCCCAATTACCGAATATATTGCACATCAATACTACTCTGTGAATGATTTAGTTCTGTTTCGGATACACCACTGTGATGGACACTGGACTGCATGCATGCTAATCTTACACACGTATGAGTGGGCTTTCGGCTTGTACAGGTAACTGTACGTTCAGCAAAATAAGTATTTGATCGAGTTTTTTATTAGCTAGCTGCTGGCGTTAAAGCGATAACCTTCTGTTACCTAAGCACATCCGTTTTCTCCACGAGGTCCAACACGTTCAGAGGCTATGTTGACTGGCAAAAGGCGCCAGCATGTAGCAGCATACTTTTACAGACACCGCTTGCCGCTAGGCATAATACGCGACTTATCCCCCGTTCAAAGCACTAACACAGACACTTTCTTTCGCATTCCTAAACATACATGGAGTCACTTTGAAGATTTGTCTCCCCTCCCTCCCTCTTTACTCATCACATAACTAGAACCTCTCCACATTGCGAAGTTGATTTTGTCGATCTAATCTGACAGGTGAGCCTTCTGAGATAGCGGGAAACGCCCCACTTAAAATCAACGCAAAAACTGCTATTAACAGCAGAGCTACCACCTGTTGTTCATTTCCGCACAGCTCTTGTTGCGAACCTTCAGGTGGCAGAGGTGAACATGACCGCATCACTCCTAGACTGTTATCGAAGGCAAAGGAGCATCGGGTGTAGGCGTGACGGATGGTACCGAACATGACCGATCGGCGCGACAGCCAGGAATGGAGGATGTCATATGACAGGCGATTGAGGGCCGGTAACGTCGTGCTCAGGCCGCGTCTGGGAAGTCAGAGGCACGCGTGCGGGTTCGATTCCCCGCGATATCTTCTCTTCTGCATGTGCAAGAGGAAGGCGCCGCCATTAAGACTGCGGTGCTGTCAAGGCAAAAAGTCTATTGGAAAGTTCGAGCGAAAAGAGTGGACAGAGATAACAGTCATTGCAGTAAAGTCGAAGGGCAAAGGGCCAAAAAGGATTAAAATCGCTGGCAAAAATTTGGATTGGAGAAAAACCAAAGGACAAAAAGCCAACGGAGATACAAGTCGAGTGCGAAAGCAAATGTTGGGTGTGCGGTGCCGGTGCAGTTCGTTCAGAATTAATCGCAGAGCATCCTCAGCACAGTGCACTAACCACCCCTGGCCCTAATGAAACAAGGAGACGCTCGCAGCCGTTGTGCGCCGCCTGCTGCCGTGGATACCGGTGTTAGGCGCGACTCTCCCAGAAAATGGCTAGAGACAGAGAGAGGAGAGAGAGAGAGAGAGAGAGAGAGAGAGAGAGAGAGAGAGAGAGAGAGAGAGAGAGAGAGAGAGAGAGAGAGACGAGAGAGAGAGAGAGAGAGAGAGAAGGAGAGAGAGAGAGAGAGAGAGAGAGAGAGAGAGAGTAGAGAGAGAGAGAGAGAGAGAGAGAGAGCGAGAGAGATAGAGAGAGAGAGAGAGAGAGAGATGAGAGAGAGAGGAGAGAGAGAGAGAGAGAGAGAGAACTTTAAAGACATAGATAGAGGCTAGCGGGGTAACCATTGCAGATCGCCCACCTTGAAGCCTCAAAGCGCCTTGCGCGGGGTTCATTTGTAAAGCTGAAAGATTGCGCTTCGTGCCGGGGCGTATGCCAGGTGAGCACGGGTGGGTCTAAATAAGAGGACCCGGAGTGCAAGGTAGTGTCACACATTGAATCCACGAGCACACGCTCGAGCAGTCGTTAGCATCTGCTCTCATACCAAATGTCAAATCATGAAGACTCTCCTGTCTTAAATCCGCTTGACGACCTGCTCGCAGACTCCAGTCTCGATAGACCTTTATCCACGTCGATTTTTTGTCTGTGAAATTCTTACGTCGCCGTTCGTCCACACTGATCTCACGCCGTCGGACAGCGCGCCGTGCCAGCCGCCACCGGTAAACGGCATTTTCCACTGGCTGGCCATGCCAATGCAGCTGAATCGATGGTTCATATTTACATTCGCTTGGGCTGCCTGCAGCACGGATTGGGTGTGCGGTCCCGGTGCAGTTCGTTCAGGATTAATCGCAGAGCATCCTCAGCACAGTGCACCAGGAAGGGAACATGGGCTCACAACATTGCACCCGTAATCACCTTGTCCACACGGGCATAGTTTCGCAAAATGAGTGCGGGGAGGGTGGCTGAAAAAATGACTCAACCTACCCCCGCAATGTGCCAACAAATAGATTTCTCCCCGGCTTTTGCCCAATTTCTTCGCAACGTTGGACGCGTAAGTCCAAGTTGAAGGGGGAGGGTTGAAACCCTCTCAACCGAATAGGAAGCCACACCCCTGCTTGTTCACCTTCTTCAATCGGTGTTAAGATGTTTTAAGCTCCAGAACAAAGTTACACGTTTGACGTCAGATGCCCAAAGCGAGCGATGACAAATTCACATAATACAAACCAAGTTGGACGCACTGTGCCATCATCTAAATCGAAGATGAAAACACACCCAGAAAGGCCGCAGAGTCCCACCTTGTTTTGGCCTATTCCTGATCCCAGGATCTACCCCAGGGAGGCCACAGTGGTGAGTGTCCCGCTCTCCTTGGTATACATATTACTTATCATGGGATGGAGCGCTCGGTTCCATACGCATGTGCGTAACCCGGCTGCGGCGCTTGCCTGGTACGGCCGTTCCTGCCACCTAGCGGCCGTCGTCGGCCCCAGTGCCTGCGTAGCCGACAGTCCAGGTGTCCGCCGCCTGGCGACACGTTTTCGAATCAACTACCTCGTGGCGTTGGGAGCAACCGAGCTCGTGCCACACACCGGGGACGGCGCCCGTGGCCCTTTCCGCTTGCGTATTGCGCATTCGTTTTGCGCATTCTTAGCAGCTGGTATTGCGCGCATTGTGTGCATTGCGCACAATGCAGACTGCTAAGCAGCAGCGAGGCTCGCACCGCTGCGGGTACAATGCCTTACAATTGTTTGTCAATCTCACTTTTAACCCTATGGACTCCTGTGACCGTCGACTTTTCCGATTCGAGCTTAATCCACTCTGCGTTTCGTTTCTTTAGTTTTTTTGTTGGTGGGTTCTTGAAAGTTGACTTTTATCTCTGCTGACTTGAGCCGAACCTCCGTCGTTCCACGACGTTTGTGATCTCATTTTAATCCCAGTCGATTTATCCATTCTGACATTTGGGCATTCAAGTTTGCGATTGCATCATTAAACATAGTGACTTTGTCCTTTGACTTTTATGTGCATTTTATTTGACTTTTTCATTTAAGTGCTTGATCTTTACCTTTCCGTTCAGAAATGCTAAAGACGACGACGCAAACGTAATCGTTACGTTAACGTTTATTCACAATATTTAGGATTCTAACCGCTAGGTTCGCTAGTATCGTAGCGTATTTCACCGATGCGTGCCCGAAGGTTTTTTAAATGTAACAAAGGCGTGCAGAGTTAAAGTACATGATTTTGTATGTAAATAGGTCGGATTACTTTAGCTCTGAGACGAAACAAAATGAAGTGAAGCCCTTTCGGCCGCCATGGAAACACACATTGCATTTTAGGAACGTCTTCCACCAGGACAGTTGTGAGTTAAAAAACGCTCAATTTTAAACTGGCGTGTTGTAAGAGATTGTGCTTGCTTATCCAACAAAGAAGGCTTCCCTGCAACTCATTGTGTTTGCCCTGGAGTGAGTTGAACATTCCATGTTCTCAAATTAAGTTTTCAACCCCGAGAAGTCTTGAATAAGGCTGGGTATTGCCTTCTTCACAGCTTTTCAACATTGCCCCAAATACTCTGCAGAAATATAAACATAATGTATAGTTGTGTTTGGGGCACATATTTCTGGTTATTCCAGGCAAAGACTTTGGGTGTTAAGTTTGTGGGCTGTCATTTTTTTTGGGGGGCAGAATCACAGTTTTTTTTCCAACATGCATGCCATGGCAAGCTGAGTAGGCCAGAGCTATGAAGGTGTGGTTTAGTGCACTTCAGTGCCGTCTGTTATTTACTGAACATTTTTTTGACATTTAAAACATTTTTCCACCTTGATATGCACTTGGTGCACCTAGGAAACCCCTATGGTCTGGTTAGGATGCTTTAAGTGTAATGCCCCTAAACATTAATGTCCAATGGGCCCCTAATTCAGTTCAAGATGTTGACAAACTAATTGACACATTTTTTTTCATTAGATGGAACCAATCTTCACCTCCTTTTGTGTTTAAATTTGTATATGATTTTAGCATGATTGGCAGCCATGCTTAAGTTCAAGCTTGCACTCTGACATCTCCCCTTCCCTGTTACAATCTGTCATGCTCCATTAAATAATTTTGCTCCCTGTGTGCAATGTTCCATGGGGACAAGCCATGAAAGGCCATCCAAGATTTTGTTGTCTCTTGTAGCTTTATCAAGTGAGACATTTTAGCCAAAGTTTGACACTGAACATACAGGAAGGCATTGAGTCTGAACAAATTCTGACATTTGTATCATACTTGTTTTGTCAATAAATTTTTGTCACAGCTTTAAAAACACAACATAGTGAAAAAAGATGCAGAAAAAGAGGTCCAAACAAGTCTGACAATGTGGAATAGTGAAAGTTCTGCATTGTTACTTCTGGAGAATGTATGAATGCTCATGTCCAACCATGAATGGTTTGTTTGTGTAAATGGTTGTCCAACCAACAATATATAATTTAAAAGAGCATCTCTTTAACAAGTTTAAACTGCTTTTGTCATCCTGGCTTCTTGAAAGCATTGTTGATATATCTGTTCAGTGATTTCAAGATGCTTTTAAGAGCAATGTGTTTTGTATAATGTATGGTACACATACATTCATCAGCAGGAGTGTGGAAATGCATGGGGCTGGGCAAGCCTGACCCCCCCCCCCCCCCCATCTTCCCAAAATATTGGTATTTGTAGTGATTATCAGCCCCGGTCCAGCTTGAGGAGTTTCTGGTGCCCACACTTAATTGATCCTCAGTAAATCAATGATAGAGCATGTGTAGGCCCAGGAAAAATGCTACTTTTGACTTGACATCATGAAAGGTACCTACATTTGTGCAAGGTGGCATAGCTAGCACAGTTGTGTTGGGATTTTGTGTCATTGGCTCTTGGCTTGTCGGTATTTTAAATCCAATGTGCTTGTCTGTTGCTTTTTATTGCAGATATTGTTTCTGACAGTGTATGGTGTTTTTTTATCAGTGTGCTAATTTTGGTATTCTGTCCTCAGCATGATGTCTGTAAGCAGTGGTGAGGGAGGTCAATCAAATTCAAGACCTCTGGATGCCTTACCAAAGGTGTTCATTGACTCAATGAGGACCCTCTTTGACATAATGGATGACAAGTGCACTGGATATGTTCATTACTCAGGTAATCACAGACTTGTAATGCATTGTGCATGTGGCAGTAGCTCCTCATTGGTTTGAAGGTAGAAACAGTTTGAATAATAAATTTGGCATTGACTGCTGTGCAAATAAGCTTGTGCAGTTTCTAAGAAATTACTGAGATAAGTGTGCACTCGAAAGATCTGTAAAATGCAGATGTAGGCATGAATTTTGTAAAAGTGCTGCAATTTGGTTGTAGAAATATTTCAGAGTTTTGATTAGAATGTTCTTGATGTTAAGCACTGTGAGTGGCTGGAAACATTTGCTTGGTGTCAGCCTATGATGGTATGGGTAAGAAGGATTTTCTTTTCAGCAATTTTGGTTGTGTTTGCCTTGTAATTTCTTTCAACAGATAGCATTGCCACATCACAACAAAAGATTATTTCATTGGTGCCCATCCAATAGCCCATTGTGTGTAATGTGGTCTTGTCACTTTATCAGACATTGAAGAGCGCTGGCGGGAGGAGGAGGGCGGCAACGTTCCCAAGGGCGTCCTGGAGTGCCTGCGGAAGGTGACGCCGGCCAGCGGCCTGCTGTCCTTCGAGCGATTCGTTGCCGGCCTCAAGATCTGCCTACTGCGCAGCCGTGCTGAGGCCAGAAGTCAGTGGCAGCAGCAGCAGCAGCATCAGCAGCATCAGCAGCGGCAGCCTCGTCCGCCGTCGGCGCCCACCCTGGAGCCGGCGGCAGCCGCCGCGCCTGCTCCGCCCGCCGTCCGGCCGCACTCGGTGATCGGGCAGCAGCGAACTCTGAGCATGCCGCAGCTGAGCGCCGCGGCCGGCGAACAGCCGCCGCCGCCGCCCAAGCCGCCTCGCGACCGCAGCCGTGATGCGCCGCCGCCGGCGGCCGCCGCGCTCAGCCGCACGCAGATCCTGACGGCGCTGCAGCGCTGGCACAAGGAGCGCGTGGAGCGCGGCCGCGGCGACGGCAAGGACGTGCTGCCGCCGCCGGACACCGTCTCCAGCTCCGAGGCCGAGCTGGAGACGGCGGGCGCAGCCGGCCCGGCGCCGCCCCCGACGGCGGCGACGGTGGCGGCCAACCCGACCAGGAAGGCGGCGCAGAGGAAGCGTGAGCCTCGCCGGCACACCCTGCAGAACGGCATCGACTACAACATGGTGAGCGGGACCGCGGCTGCGGAGGCTAGTCGTTACAGGTGGTGGGATACCGGTCGGCGCGGATGGTGATGGGGATCATCAGTGATCTAGTGGTTGAATGATCATCATGAAAAATCATGACTTAGATCACCATGATCTAGTGGTTGGAATTTGACACTAGTTTTGACACTTTATCTTGTTAAGTAAGTACAGCTGGAAATATGTGCCATCATGCAACACTACATGAAGCCCAGGTCGGAAATATTTGCTTCCAGGAACGTTTAATGCAGGCCATTAATATTTGTGATGTGGGTGCACTTGGATATTAATATCAGTGACAGGGAAGATGGGACAAGGACATCAAGATAATGTTTATAAGTGGCGACAGCAGTCATCATCATCAGACTGCATAACAGTCACCATTAACCAAAGCATAACTTCACCCACAGTGAAGTTACACTCCATGTCAATCGTAATACAAATTCTGAATGGTACATTCACTGTGCATGCGGTCGCGCACCACTGCACCGCCAGTCGTGTACGACCAGGCTGTCCCCGTACGGCGACGCCGCTCGAGCGTCTCTCATCATCGTTTGCTATCCCAGGTGGCCATTACCCGGCGCCCGCGCTAGTCTGACCCCAGCCCCCGCTCGCGGACGCCGTGCAGCGTCGCTGAGCCGGTCCTGGTGCCCGCGCTCTGACCCTTGCCCCCGCACGTGGACACCGCGGCAGCGCTCTGACCCCTGCCCCCGCTCGCGGACGCCGTGCCGCGTCGCTGAGCCGGTCCTCCTGGCGCCCGCGCTCTGACCCTTGCCCCCGCACGTGGACACCGCGGCAGCGCTCTGACCCCTGCCCCCGCTCGCGGACGCCGTGCCGCGCCGCTGAGCCGGTCCTGGCGCCCGCGCTCTTACCTTTGCCCCCACACGCGGATACCGTGCCGCGCCGCTGAGCCGGTCCTCCTGGCCTCCCAGATGAAGCGGATGAAGCAGATCGAGCAGGAGCGGGACACGCTCAGTCAGGGCCTGCAGATGGTGGAGCGCGCGCGCGACTGGTACCTCCAGCAGGTGGCCGCCGTCAACGAGAAGATGAAATACCTGGGTCTGGGTCGCGCGCCACCGCAGAGCGTAAGCAGCGCCGCGCGTCGACCCAGTCATTGATTGGGGACTTCGAGCCCGGTCATAGCTAGATGGTTGGGAATTTTCATTGAATAGTGCGGGACCAGTATGCGAGTGATGCCGTTGCCTGCTTCTTACATGGGCCTAACTTATCAGTTTGCTTGCCTGATCATGGGCTATTGCGGTTTTCCTCATCGTGGCGGTGGAGTCATTTTTTGCATTGCTTAGTGGCATGCTTGCAACAAGACATGCCATCAGGTGTCGCGGCCGCGTAACTTGCAACTGGGTGCTGCACGTGTGACACACGTCTGCTGCACGCGCCCTCCTTCCCGGTCGGCCTCTCCGGTGGAGCCGTGCACCTTTTTCCTCCCGGCGTGCGGCGGTGACGTCAGTCGCGCGCCCGGCAATCAGTGACAAATGGTGCGCGTCCGCCCGGCCTGTCTTGTCGATACCTGAACAGCGTCTCTGACCAGCGCTGCCGCCGCCTCAGGAGCACACGACCGACGCCAACGAGGAGCGACTGAGCTTCCAGACGGCGCGCATCCACGAGGTGAACCAGCACCTGTACGCGCTGGTGGACTCGTCGCGGCGTGGCTTCCCGCTGCACATGAACCTGGCGCTGAGTCCGGGTCGCGGCGGCGGAGGAGGAGGCGCCGGCGCGGGCGGCGGCGGCGGCGGCGGCGGCGGCGGCGGCGGCGGCGGCGGCGGCGCGGCCTCGCCCACCACCGAGCGCACCGTGCGCCGACTGAAGGCGCAGAACGCGCAGCTGACGGAGGTGAGGGCACGGGATGCTCTGGGCGGAGTGGGAAATCGTTTGGAGGGCTTCTCTCAATTAATGGACGGAACAGGTTGTCCGTTCTGGGCTGTGAAGCGGATGAGTGGCAGTGTTGGGGCTCCGCTGTCTCCCGTCCCCCTTTTGATCACCCCGTGGCTCGGGGAGACGTGGCGTCCGTCCTGGCACCAGTCGTATCCTGGTGATGTCGCCTCTACCTCTCGACGCCGCCGCCAGCGCCGGTCTCATCGCCTTGGGTAATCCCGTTACCCGCCAGCGTCGCCCCACCACCTCCGGACGCCGCCCTACCACCTCAGGACGTCGCCCTATCACATCCGGACGCCGCCCTACCACCTCAGGACGCTGTCCCCCCCCCCTCCCCTCCACCACCTCCAGACGCTGCCCCATCACCTCAGGACGCCCCCCCCCCCCCACCACTTTTGGACGCCGCCCCACCACCTTCGGACGCCGCCTACCACCTCCAGACGCCTGCTTGACCACCTTCCCATGCTGCCCCCCCCCCCCCCCCCCCCCCCACACACACACACACTGCCAATGCTGGCCACATCACGACCCAATGCCTCTCCCACCACCTTTCAATGCCGTCCTCACCACTATGCAGCACTGCCATTTCCAGCGCCGCTCTCACCATCTGCCGTCACCGACCCCACCTCTCACCACCAGCGCCACCCTCAGCCCGCCGACCTGACGCGCCGCCCTCCCCCGTCCGCCAGGAGGTGGCGCAACGGTCGGAGCGCATCACGGCCCTGGAGCGTGAGAAGACGAGCTTGATCCGCGAGCTGTTCAGCGCCCGCTCCGAGGCGCGCCGCCCGCACCCGGACGAGACGACCCTGATCTGAGCGGCGCCGACCCCCCGGCCAGCGGGGAGTTGGGAGGGAGGGGCAGCGGGCTGGGCTGGGCTGGGCTGGCGCTGAGTCGGGGAGGGAGCGGTGTAAGGAGCGAGGGAGATGGCAGAATTATTTTGTCAGATGGAATCGCGTTAAGGGTCTCGAGTCTGGTATTTTGACCAGTTTTGTCGTGTTAGGTGCTAATCTAGGGGCATTCGTATTGCCAGTGGTGTCTCCCACTAGCATATGGAATTTGGTCCGGATTTCGGAGCATTATGCCGCCGACTGTGATTGAAAACAAATTTGTATGAAGCGCCATAGTTTTGATAGTGGCGGCTCCGTTCGAGCCAGCGATTGTCCTATCGTTCAAAATGTACTTTATCAGCTCGTTTTACAGTGTTTGTGTGCCCGTGTATGGTCGTGGCAGGTCGGGCGAGCGGTCGGTGCCGCCCCCCGCCCGCTCGACAGGGCTCATGGCAACCACTCCGTCCATTGTCAGACAAGCTCTCAAGTGTTTTACATGTCACCGCCGCCAGCCGGCGCAACGAGTCCGTCCGCGTTGTGCCAATACGAATGCATTCCGTCGCGCCATTTTGGGCCTGCCGGGACAGGAGAGGCTGGCGCATGCCGTGGGTCGAGAGGCCGCTGAATAAATGCGCCACTGTTTTAGCAGCTGTGGTGTTTACGGCGTGTGTCGAACGAGTATCATGCACAGGAGACGGCGTTGCGTGACCAGGCGACCGCGTGCATTGGGGTCAGTTGTATGGCGTGAGTGGAACCAAAGCCATGCTGAACGGACCAGGTCGGGCCTGGTGCGCCAGGAGCGACACTTGATACATACCCCCCCCCCCCCCCCTCCCCCACTGCGAAGAAGCCATCGGGCCCGTCCGTGGACGAGCGGACTGGCAAATATCGCGTCAGCGCAGTGGGAGGTGTGAACAAACGAGTGAACACCAGTGGGGCATTTCGGGCTTCACTGCCCTGACATCAGCCTGTGCCCGACGGCGCTATCTGATGGCGTCGGACCCGCACCCAGAACAACTCAAATGCTCCTGATAATGCTGGCGAGGCCGGTGCAGACATCTCACGATCGCTTCTGATTTGCCGCTCGCCGGGCAGGGGCGCGGCTTGACATGCCGGAGTTCGCCTGCGAATGTCGAAGGCGTTATGTGTGGCCACCAGGGGCACGATCATGTATGTGGACGGCCGACTGCACGAGAGCCGCGGAACACCCGACCGGAAGCGGAGACGGTTATCATGACCGGCCGTGTATGTTTGGCGCCCAAATCGAATGTTGCTGATCGCTTCCTGCAACTCGTTATCTCGCAGGCTCCGTTTGTCTTCCCGAGGCTGCTTGAGGGGGATTTTCTTTGCCACAATCCGCTGTCTCCCCTTCACGTACGGCAAAAGGACTTGTGCCGTGCCGTGAGGCGCTTGCATCCAAACGTGCATTCGTAGCGCTTATTCGTGTAATGTGTGCTGCCGGTTTGGCTGCTCGATTTTCTGCGCGCAACTGCTGTCAGATGTGGTCTTGCGATAGAGCTTTCAGAGCATATGCAACTCGGGCGTTGTTTCGTAAGCCCGTTGATTACTGGTTCTCGGCCCCGATTGCAAGTTTCAGCATTGCGGCAGACGCTCTGAAGACTGCTCCGCTCCGCTGATAGGATTGCTCAGTGTTTTGCATTTGGCTAATACCCTGCATGTTTATGAGGCTGTTTTGACGCCGACCTGCAACTGGCCTTGACTTAGCGATGCCGCCAAGGCCACGAAGGCGAACGATCGCTTCCTCCCTGTTGCACTGCGTCTCAAGCTTTCAAATTATGCCAAGAGATGGCAGGCGAAGGGGCTTATATGGCTGCCAAATTAGTATATAACGGTAGTTTATAGTGTCGCAAAATGTTATTTTGCAAGGCGTTTCCCGAATTTCGAGCCATGGCACAACCAGGGGCGAAAGAAGGGGAAGGAACCAAAAGCAGAAATACACCCAACGTGTGTTTGATATGCGGCTGCTTTGAAGTGGCGGAAATGGTTCCAAAAAGCCGCATTTACTCTCAAGGTATACTTGAATTTCCCGAGTCGCTTCTCATAGCTTAGCCAGTAAGATTTTGATTGGCATGGTCATCTGCATGGCATTCCTCTCCGCAAGACATATCCAAAACAAAAAACGTATGTGGCCTCACAAAATAATTATACCATAGCCTACCGTCATATCTAGTATGTGTATTTGTTTACCTACTATCTCGTCAGCTTCAGTAAGTTTGGTATCACACCTCGGCTAATCTGGCGCAGGTTGAGAGTTGCTCTTGGGAATTTATGGCGATGTTTTGTTTTCCAGTCACAACACCTCGATTTTAGCCTTCTCCCCCGATGTCTAGTCATCGTGCTGTTTTTCTTTTCAAGTGGTGTCTCAGTGAAATCTGAGATGGCGAATCCACGTAAATTTAGTGAAAAGATAGCTCTACATGCTCAAAAGCAGGCGGAGGAGACTGCAGCATTTGAGCAGATAATGCGTGAAGTTGGCAATACTAAGACACCAAAGGTATGATGCGGCTGTTTTTTGCTCAGGCGAAATGATTTGATGGTTCTGTATTTGACGTTGTTAAGCACGAGTGTGTCACTGTTTTTGATCCATAAACTAATGGTCAATTCAGGGGTAGTGTGGTTATTTCATGCAGTAGCACAGTTGATGAGGTTCTGTCAATACCATATCACTATTATTGCCTCCTGAGTTTCTTGGTCTTTCGATATATTTTCCCATTACACTATATTTTGATGTGGCATTGGAACCCAACAGAGCTGTTGTAGCATATTACCTGATTACAGCATGTCATGTCCAGGTTGCTCCCAACTTATATGATGCGTCTCATATTTATGTGGCTAACATGCCTTCCATTTGATAGGATACTACATGGATCATCATCACCAAATTCAGCATGATTCTTCTGTGTATTAACTGAGTTCAAATAAAAATAAACAGTGAAAGAACCCATACTTTGGAGATTGTCACTTTGGTGCCTTACTGGCTGCTTTATCTCATAGATTTTGTGCTAAGTGTCACCTCAAAGCTGTTTGGGGCATTACAAAATTAGGGTTGTGGAAGTGTATTCTGTTTTCCATGCTGCTTTCTGCTGTGTATCAAAGAAGTACAGGAAGAGCTGAGCAAAGCATTTAGAAACCTGGTCTAAGAATTGCCCTGGGGATATATACATGAGGATTATTCAAAGTGCTAGATTCCCATGCACATAGAACACTGGACCGCAAGTGGGGAAGCTAAGTATTTTCTATTGTGTACCATTTCACAATTGCTACTCAAAAGATAATCCCAATCCTGAAACCCAACTTATCATCATACTAAGATATAGCCTATTCTTAGTCCTATCAAATTGATCCTATTACAGAACAATGTGGCATGATGTTATGCTGTCACCATCTTGTTGCATAATGATAGATTAATGTGTGCAAAGTTAACATGCAAAGTTAAAAGCAAAGTTAACTAGTTAGAATTGATACAATGCCTTAAAAATATGCAATGTTTAAGATATAAATGATATGTCTCTGGCTCTGGCTCTGGCTCTGGCACTGGCTTCAGACTTTGTGAAGCATATCTTTTGGAGCTTTGTTCTGTGGAGCATATCTGCAGTTTTCACATATGTATATCACCTTTGAAGCTGAGAAGCCTCCCTCTATGATGCTTATGCAGCTGAATGGTTTATCAGACCACTGCAGTCAGTGAGAATTGTCTGTATATCTAGTCACAGTGAATGCAATCTCACCTCTGCAGAGAATCCCCAAGGACTGGAAGCTTAGGCTCTGCTCATGCTTACTTGTGAACTAAAGCCTGTAATACTTGTTGGTAGTGGATTTGTGTGATAAATATGCAATGTGCATCTCCCATGGATCATTTTATCATGTCATGCTGGTATATGCCGCTTGTAAAGTTCCTATGTCTTGCTATGCTTGCTCCATCAAAGATAGGTCTGAGTGATCAACCTTGAAAGGCATGCAGTCTGTGCTTCAAACAGTCAAAAATGACTGGACCAATCAACCAAGACCAAGGCTGTCATGGGCTAGATGGTATAATTTACCACTTGGTGTCCTCTTCTTGCAACCCCATCCAAATTGGGAGCTGTCTGACTGACCTATGTGGACATTTACTGTTTGGACAGATCTAATACATAAGCACCTGAATGCAGTTATCACATGGATGATAACTTATTTGTTATTTCTGGTATGCAAAATTGTTAGGATTTTTTTGGTTTCACTGATTCTTGTTCAGTTCTAACCCCATTGTCTTGCTTTATTCAGTTGTTGCACTGCTCTCTGATCAGGATGAAATTTTGTGTTAGCACACAAGGTAAAAGACATCAAATAAGCACTGCCCTACATGTTGACAGTCCCTTGCACCACATGTTTGCTGTGCTCTGCCACAGGAGCGACCTAGACATGATTGGTGCCAGTGCATGCCCAGTACTGTGTATTCTTTTTTCAAATGTTTCACCAGCATCTGTCATACTTGAACAGACATGCCAGACATGTGAACCTCATGTCAAGCTTCATATGTATCCATCCAAAATGTGGGTCTTAACCTCCTCAAAAGTGCAAGAAGAAATTAGGCCAAATCCAGAAAAAAATGGTTTGCATAGTTTGGGGGCAGGTTCTGCCATGTTTCACTGTTCAGCACCCTAAGTCATTTTGTGAAACCTCACTGCTGGCTTTGCCACATAGTGATCAGGCATCCAAAGTGCACCTCAAGTTCTGAGCGGGATCATGGCCCTTTCCCTGATGGTGAGCCACGACAGTGCTCCCCGTGCTTATCAGGTAATAGCCCTGTGCTTCGGGGCAACTCGATGCGTTGGCCGGGGTGCGGCGCCTCCAACACCGACAGCGCGTGTCGGCTGTTTTCCTGTGTGCTCCTCGTAGCCTCGCCTGGGCTCTGGCAAACACCTGTCACGTTCGCCAGTCCCGGAGGCACCGCATGCCCCTGTCATGCTGCCGCGTGCCCCCGCGACGCCGTGTCCGGCGCCTCCAGCGGGTGCGTTGGTGCGGCGCCGAGCCGTCAGCACGGCCCGTGCGCTCACCGGGCGGTGGTGTGCGGCCGGCAGGGCTCGCCCGTCATGCCGCCGTCGCCCTCGCAGCCGGTGTTCATCCACCAGAGCCACCTGCAGCCGTTCCACCGCGGCTGCGGCGGCTCGCTGCCCAACGTCAACCAGATGGCCGGCTACCCGCCCGGCCACCCGCACGCCGTCCACCAGGTGGGCCCTGGCGTATACACCGGCGCGCGCGCGCTGGCGAGCGCTGTCAGCTGGAGGGATGACGCGGGGAATCTGGACGGGACGTGGTAGGCTGCTCGCGTGATTTGCGCTCCATTTACGTGCGCGGATTGCGGGCGCGTCTGTTTTTGCGTATGTGAGAATGTGACTGGTTTCAGCTGAGTCTCAACCAGGTGCTGGTGCCGGTTAGGTCCCATTGTCGGATAGAGGTGAGGTTTGCTGTTTCCGGACTAGAGCTTTCTGCATCTCTGCCAGAGCCGCACCGTCCGACCAAGTTTCCGTGCTCGTGGTCACATCTGAACCGTTTCGACGCTCGTGCCATGCGGTCGGTGCGTTTGGTGGTCGTTTGAGCTGTTGCCGTGTTCTGCGCTGTACCTGGTGCGCGTGTCCGCGCGGCTGGACCGCCCGCTGATGGCCGTCGCGGCTGTTCTCCAGGACATGTACCGCGGGCCGCACGTTTACGCGGCGGACCAGCGCAGTTCGGGCATCGGGCCCCACCGCAGCTCGCGCGTCACGTGCGAGCACCGGCGCGACACGTCACCCTATAGGTCAGTCAGGTCAGTATGTTTTGTTCTATTTGGTTCCGACCTTTTCGCGATGTTGACGCGGGGTTCTGTGCATACCGCCAGTCACCTTTGCTGATTTTAGGTTTATTTGGTTCGTGTTTACTCCTTTTTATTGAGCTCTCTACTTGTTCATGTCTGTCGGCTGTGGTGGCTGTGCTTCCAGGCTGTTAGCCACACACGCAGTACTGAATACTGCGCACCAAATATCGTCAGACAAGCCCTGTTCTTAATTGGCCGTAATGCTCCCGTGTCTTGTGCCCACACTCCAACTCGCGCCATACCTACCACACGAGAGCGGATTCCCTGGCCGTCTGGCACGCGGCCGCTGACCGGTGTCCGTCGCTGGCGCACAGTCCCCACGCGCCGCACTACCTGTCGCCGCCGGCGGACGGCAGCTGGCGGCGCACGCACTCGGACTCGGCGCTACACCAGAGCCGGCAGCCTGGCGAGGCCGGCGCTCCCGGCGCCGCCCAGCCGCCACCGCCGCGCTACTCGCCCGTCCCGCAGCGGAGAGGTCAGGTCACCAGATCACCAAGGCTGAGGGTCACGTGCGAGGGTGCGCGGGTCGGGGCTCGGGCGGCGGACTGGGGGCTGGTCATATTGTGCAACGCATTATTCGTATCGGCGGAAGCTTAGGAGGAGTTGGATCTGATCGTGTGCTGGGAGGCCGCGGCACGTTTGTCCGTGGGGGGGGGGGGGGGGATGACGCTCGGGACTCTGCCAATCCGGCATTACCGGAGCTTTGCCATGGTGGATAGCAGACTGGGCAGGATACGTACCCAAAGACCTGTGGTGTGCAGATTATGACTGCATGGTGTGCCGCTGGGAAGCAGACTTAGCCGGAGTGACTTTTTTGCCGTGTGCCTGGGCTGTTCGCCCCCTCCTGTGAGCGTTTCGAATGACGCCGCTTGCGCTCAGTGACGCGACACCTCTGCCGGCATCGGCCTGAGTCCGTTCTGCCCCAGCCCTCGTGTCCGCTTGGTCTTGCCCCTCGTGTCCGCTCGGTCTCGCCCCTCGTGTCTGCTCGTGTCCGCTCGGTCCTGCCCCTCGTGTCCGGTCGGTCCTGCCCCTCGTGTCCGCTCGCGTCTGCTCGGTCCCGCCTCATGTCTGCTTGGTTCAAAGCCGTGTCCGCGCGGCTAACGGCGTGTGCTCTGGCAGAGCTGGCCGGCGTGGGCGTGCCGGATCCGGGCAGCAGCGGCGGCTCCAGCCCGGCCGCGCCGCCCGGCCACTGGTCGCCGTTCGACCCCAAGCTGAGCCCGCTCGGCGTCCCGGCGCCCGGACAGCGCACCGGCCCGGCCGCCGAGCAGCGCGTGCCGGGCATCTAGTGAGTGCTGCTGGCGGTGGCACGGTCTAGCGCGGGGCAGGCTGCTGTCAGCCGCGCTGGACGGAGGCGTGGTGGCGATTTACCGGCGGTAGTACGACGGCTCAGCTGTTTGGCAGCGGGGGAAGCCTGTTCACCGTTCGCTTTGCCGTGATAGTTTTGCTATCTGGAAACGCTGACTATGCATACCGTGGACGGCCGAAAAGGGCTTCGATGATGACCCTCTGATAGACCATGGAGCAGGCTCCCCGAGTACCGCCGGCGCCGGGGCGGGGTTGGGTTAGTGATGCGCAGCTCTGGTGTACGCTGTTGTCGCTCAGCGGAGCTGGCCGAGCCAGCCCTCTCAATGGGTTGGCCCAATCAGCTGGCAGCGGGATGGGGCCTCGCTGGCAGCCCGTATCGCTCTCTGCTCGCCGTTAACCCCGCGCACCCACCGCGCAGCAACTACAACATGTACCCGGACGGGGCCGACCAGCGGAACGGGCCGCCGCCGCCGTCCATCAACAACTCGGGCTCGCTGCCCGACCTCAGCTCGCTCAACTTCCCATCGCCGGTGCAGCAGCCCATCGACGGCGACGACAGCGGCACGCCGCCCTACTGTTGCGTGAGTGTCGCTGGAGAGCACCGGAGCCGGGGCCGGGGCCGGGGCCGGGGCCGGGGCCGGGGCCGGGGCCAAAACAGAAGCCAAAATCGCGGCGGGTCGGGCGCCGGCGGTGGAGACTGAATCAGCCTCTCCGCGACAGCGTTTGCGCCCGGGTGGTGTTTGCGCCGGCCGTGGACGAGAGCTCGACTACTGCATGAAATTGGTAGAGGCTCACGTGGCACAAATTGAATAAAACTTTCACGCTGTCGAGAAATGAACAGGTGCTGCTGCTGCCCTTGCTACCGTATTGATTTTGCTCGTTTGTTGCCTCGCGTTGTGGTGGCCTGTAGCGTGACCTGCTGCCGCCCGGTGTTCTATATTCATGGCGCCGTTGGCGGCGCGTGGTGCCTCCCGCGGGCCCGGCGCCGGAGCGCCACCGGACGGCCGCCACCGCCGCCGCCGCGTCACCGGGCCCGCTCCGTTGCAGTCGCCCGGCGGTATGTCGCCCGGCGGCATGTCGCCGTCCTATCCGGGCCCGCCGTCGCCGGTGGGACCGGCGCCGCTGCGACACCCGCGGCCGCCGCCGCCGCACATTCCGCCACACGCCGGCAGCCAGGTCAGCCCCTCCCCGGCTCCCCTCCCTCGTCCTCCCCACACAACGACGGGCCCCAGGCCACGGGAGGTGCCCGCCTCCGCGCTCACGTGTATGTTCAGACCCAGCTCACGAAGCCCTTTGGTAGCCATTTTCGGAGGTGGCGTTGTGTGAATGTCTCAGCTACGTGCTTTTTCTTTGTTTCTGTTTGCCTCGGGTTATGTGAATGGTTTTACATGTGTAGGTAGCAGTGCTCTGCTCGGCTGTAACGCATGCTTCAGTTGCGATGCATTAAGTGTGCCTTCATTCTCTGCATGGCGGTGTATCGGGAGGATTCGCCCGGCGTTTTTTTGCGACGCGCAGTTAGATACGCCATTGGAGTGGGGTTTCCACTCGACACAGTTCTGTGGCGCGACAACCGGCGCCGACGTGCCCTGACGTGGGACCATGGACTTCCCGCGGAGCGCGCGGACAGCCTGGCAGTCCGTGTCGGCCCGCTGTGGGGAAGTTCGAGCGCCCGTGACATCATTGTCCGGGTGGGCACAAGTTAGCTTCGGTGTCAGTTCTCCTGCGCTCCCGAACTTTGTCTCTTAATCGAATCAGAGCCGGGGTCTTGTCGGCGCTGCTCACTGAGATGAGGTCTGCTGACAGGGTCAGCTTTGATAGTCACGCCCGGTGTGGAGGCGGCCTTCACTTTCCGGCTCACGATGCCCAATAGCTGCTAAAAGAATCTCGAACGCCTCTGCGTAATGAGCCCCGCCCCGCCGTCCGCTGGGAACCGTCTGCTTGCCGTCGCCACGCATGGTCCGCTGTAGCCGGCCAGTGTCCCCTCCTCCCTCCCCCCGTTCCGCGCCGGTGGCGCGGCGCCGGGCTGGGCTCCACTGGCGTCTGCATGACGTGTGGTGCTTGGCGGCCGTGGCGCCAAGTGGGTGCCTCGCCCCGACCGCCCGCCGCCGGCTTCTTATCTGTGTTTGGTGTGCATTCGCAGAACCACCTAACTGTCCCGCTGTCCAGCGTGTCGGCCAATTACCTGCACACCTGTAAGGTATGTGGGCCCGGCGCGCGTCCGGCGTCCGCCGCTCAGTCATCAGTGGGGGTCACGGGGGCCCGTTTGAACACAGATAGGGGGCCGTGGGTGGGTCCGGCGTCCGCCGTTCAGTCGTCAGTGGGGGTCACGGGGGCCCGTTTGGACACAGATCGGGGGCCATGGGTGGGTCCGGCGTCCTCCGTTCAGTCATCAGTGGTGGTCACGGGGCCCCGTTTGGACACAGATCGGGGGCCGTGGGTGGGTCCGGCGTCCGCCGTTCAGTCATCAGTGGTGGTCACGGGGCCCCGTTTGGACACAGATCGGGGGCCGTGGGTGGGTCCGGCGTCCGCCGCTCAGTCATCAGTGGGGGTCATGGGGGCCCGTTTGGACACAGATCGGGAGCCGTGGGTGGGTCCGGTGTCCGCCGTTCATTCATCAGTGGGGTTCACGGGGGCCCCGTTTGGACACAGATCGCGGGCCGCAGGCGGCTGACGCCGACCGGAACAGACAAGCTGGCTACGTGGTCACCCTGTGGTGGGCGTGGACCCAGTCCAGTCATAGTCATGCTGGGCCGCGGATTAGGCGGAGGTGGGAGCATTAACGTGTGGGCTTTTGCATTCGCCCTGTCTGGTTTGGCTTTTGAAGTGTGCAAATCCGTGACGTAAGCTGGTGGATCACTGGCTGTTGCGGCAGCAAGAGCTTGCGCTTCCGTTTAGTGATCGTTCATCCAACAGGTAAGGCATCACTCTCAGCAATGTAATCGAGTGAACTCGATAATAGTATTTCCATGCGGGAAGTGTGGACAGACAAGATGTTCCTGCGCTACTCGCACACGGATGCACCGGGTTGGGCTGCTCTGACGAGGAGCGCCGATTGGCAGGAGTACTGCATCCTCGGTCCTTCAGTTTCACTCAACTTCCAGATGTTGTCTAGAAAGGCGCAGGCTTTAGCGGCTTTTTCAGCTGCGTTTGACAGTTTGTAGCAGCTGCATTGTCACGTCATGGCTTCTAGTCTATATTAGTTGCAGACGTTCTCCATCCTTGTATCATGCTGTGAATAGGGGCTTTGTTCTCGTCTCGCGCTCTGTGTTTTCGTCTCGTGTCTGCTCCGTGTTCGTGCTGTAGTTTTTCGCTTGACATTGAAGCCTGAATGCCGGTTCTCTTGGCATGGGCTGTGCTGTCGTCAGCTGATCTCTAATCGATTTGGTTCCATCCTTTTTTGCTGTTGCGCCTGCGGGCTTGAGATAAGTGAGTGAGATGTTTACAGCCTTTTCATCGCTTTCGCAGGGGGTTACGGTCGAGAATCAAACACAGGGAGTCCCAAGAAAGTACAATCAAGTCAATTATGGCAATCAAGCACAACAACAACACCAACAACCACACCAGCAACATCAACAGCAACAACAGCATCATCATCAGCAGCAGCAACAACATCCACATCAGCAACAGCATCAACAGCAGCAACACCAACAGCAGCAGCATCAACAGCAACAGCAGCAGCAGCAGCAACAGCAGCAACAGCAGCAACAGCAGCAACAGCAGCAGCAGTCCCCCATGTCACCGGTGAGTGCAACGTGCGGACGTGCGTTCGCACGAACCTGGCGGCAAAGCACTGGCCGCCGACGTACCCTCGTCATGCGCTTTACCGACCGAGCGAACTCCCAGATCCTAGGCGCGCGTCACCGGCGGTAGCGTGTCGTTTTGACGCGGGCGGACAGCTGTGCGTGGAGTGACAGGCGCTGTTCTGTGCGGTGTCGGCTGCGCGCGCCCGGCGCCAGCTGTGGGGGGCCGCCTCGCCAGCGTTCCGAGGCGTCCGCCCGGCTGCCGGCGGCGGGCCTCCCTTTCACGGACGGACCGGACGCAGGTGGCGCGCACGTGCCGATCTCGCTCGTCATCGGCGCTGGCGAAAATGCGGTGCGAGTGGTCGCAGACGAGGGCCTAAGGCATGTCCTGGTGGCAGGGTATGATTCAATATGGGGCAATACCTGCGTGTGCCGTGTGGTAATGGATTATCGTGGCGTCGACGAGGGTTGGCTGTTGTCGCCTCACTCTATCGGTGTTTCGTTTGGAAGATGAGTGCAGCTGATTAGCTGGGTGTTGTCATTTTATTTGAGCCTAGCATGCGTGTTTCATCCCTGGCTCTAAGTTGTCACCTCTATTAGCCAGACAGGCACGGTTGTTGGGTGTGTCGCTCCCGGCTCCCTGTGTTGGCGCTGTTCTGGCCGGGCTCATAGTGCACCGCGTAGCGTACGCCGCATGCGTGTCGCGGCCCGGCGGCCACGCGCCGCTGCCTCCCCGGCGCCGTTACCTCTCCGCCTCCGCCTCCGCCTCCGCCGCTATCGCTGCTGCTGCTGTCTGAGTGTGGGGCCGGCCTCTCGACAGGACTCCAGGCCCGATCTGATGAACGCCTATAGGAGCCCCCAGCTGAGCCCTCGCAGCGTGTCGCCGCTGCCGTTCATCCAGGTACGGTGTCCGTGCCCCGCCGCCGCGCCAGCCACCGACGGTCGCTTCGTCCGTGGCCACTGCCTCGCGCGCGTCCGCTGCCGTGTCGCGGCTGCCGTCCGTCCAGACTCCCCGTCGAGCGTCTGCCGTGCCGCGCCTCTCCTGGGCCCAGCAGCGGACTGTTCCGACATCCCGTCCTCCCGCCTGGGGCCAGACACCACGCGGCTTCGGTGCCTCACCTCCTCGTCCAGCACAGGCGGCGTCCTGCCGCGCCCGCCTGCGGACGGCTGTCCAGCACCGCGCTGAGCCCCGCCCGCCGCCGCCGGCGCGGCGCGGCCCGGCGCGCTGCCGGCCGTCCGGTGCGCTGGCCAACCGGCGGCGGCGGCGGCGGCGGCGGCGGCGGCGTCACCGCTAATTCGGCCGTCGCCGGGGCCGGCGAGCGATCGATCCGTGAGGCGAGCTGCTGCCGTCGCCGTCTCGACACCTGGCCGCGGCCGGTGGTGCACTCGCGCCGTCCGCCGCGCCGGGCTACGCCATCGTCTCGCATCCCGCTCTGGGAGGCGAGCCGCGAGACTGGTGGTGGGCTTGTTGCTGCTGGGTGACGGGCTCTTGGCACCGCATGCTGTGGCGTCGCCTGGCGCCCGTGCACGGGATGCCGGGAGTGGAGCGCTCCGTCCGCTGGCGGTCACGCGGGTCCGTGCCGTTTGGATGCGTTTGTCCGGGGATTTACGGGAAACGTCCGGGACAATCATAGCGTGACAACAAAAAAGGCGAGCGGATGCGCTGGGAAAGACTGGATGTAGCGAACAGAGGCGCGTTTCGTGGGACAAGCCCGTGTTGACCCACTCCGTGTTACGCGTTGCGTCAGCTGTTCATCACTTGCCTTGTGCCGACCAAGCGAAGTGGATACCGTGTAGGAGCTGATTTAGCGGTGCCTGCCAGTAAGTAGCAGCGTCGCAGGAGCGAACACCTGCACGTATGTGTTGGTTGTCTGTATTGTTTTGTGTAGTTAGCTACCCAATCTGATAGATCCCGCATGCGCACGCTCTTCTCTGTAGCATTTACTGCTTTGTTCCACCGACCCCGCTTATGAAGACGTGTTCCCGGTACTGGTATAGCGGAGACAATGCATTCACAGAACCTGGAAACCCTGGCGTTCCACCGACCACGTCTTATGAAAGCACGCTTCCATCAGAAATGACACATTCCGAGAAGCAAGGCATCTCCCGGCGGATATCGTGTCGCTGTGCGCGTCCAGCTCCACTGCGAACTTCATGCAGTCATCCGTCCACACACAAACACGCACACAAACACACACACACATACAAACACACGCACAAACACACGACAGATACCCGAGCACCAACCCACCCACAAAGCTCAGAGGAATCGGGCCAGTAGCGTTTGCCAGCGGCGCATCGATCGAGCGGTTCGGCTGCCGGCTGGGGCGGCGCCGCTGCCGTCGCCGGTGGCTGGCGGGTGCTGACGGCCGGCCGCCTTCCAGACTGGCTACCGGAGCCCGAGCTCGCTGGACGGCTTCCCATCGGCGCCGCCGTCGCCCGTCGGGCCGCCCTCGCCGGCCGGCAACAACGGCTTCTACATGTCGCCGCAGACGCAGCAGATGCAGAAGCAGTTCGAGCAGTTCAGCGTGGTGAGTGCGGCGGTGTCGCCGGCCGGCCGCGGCGTCGACGGGCGGCCGCTTCTATCCCAGTGCCAGCTGCGGCCGCTGCGTTCACAGTCTCCAATTCCATGCCGCCGAGGCGGGCGCCTCGCATAATAAGTAACTCGATTTGCGTTCCGCCGCGTGATGCGATCGCTGCTGCTCATTACCCAATCGTCAGCGGTCTACGCAGCGCAGGACAGCGTCGGCGGTCGGCGCCTGACGCGGGCCTGCCCGCCCGACCCCGCCGCAGGGCATGTGTCCGGGCGGCGCCTGACGCGGGCCTCCCCGCCCCACCCCGCCGCAGGGCATGTGTCCGGGCGGCGCCTGACGCGGGCCTCCCCGCCCCACCCTGCCGCAGGGCATGTGTCCGGGCGGCGCGCCGGCCACGCAGCAGACGATGCTGGGCTCGGCCGGGCCGTCGCAGCGCACTACGCCGCAGACGCCCACAAACAGCATACCGGAGATCACGCTGTCCGGTGAGGCGCCGGCGCCGGCCGCACCCTGTCCAGGCGGCTTGGGGTGCATGGCGGTCACTGAGGAGCACTGCTGAGGGTAATGATGCGGTGTAAGCCCCATTCAGACATCACGTTTGGACTGAGCCGTGAAGTGCACCTCGTGTTGTTTCCGTGGTGCTTGTCCTCATCGCTCGGTTGTGATGTAGTTGTGAGGCAGGGACCGCTCAGTTGTGCTGACACCGCACAGGCACTGTTGTGTGAAGCGTCGCGATCCCGCGCGTCGGGTGAACCTATCGAGGCAGCCGGTAACGCGTGCCGGACGGAGAGCCTCTCCCCGCCGCGCCCGGCGCGCTACCACTGAGCCCGGCTGCCGGCAGACTTCTCGTCGTCGTCGTCGGCGGCGTTTCAGCTGCAGGAGCTGCCACGCGACCTGCGCGACGCCAGCGACCTGCTGCAGGGTCACGAGGACGACTTCAGGGAGGCAGGTGTGTGGCGCGCCCGAGCGGCGCCCGCCGCCGCGCCGCGCGGGACCCTCTGGCCCAGTGGGGTGGGGTGTCACTGAGGTGCTGGGGAGAGATCCCAGGGCTGCCAGCCACCGAGCACCAGGGCGGATTCCACGCCAGTCAGTGTATGCTCGTTTCAGGTGCAACGTGGCGTTCAAAAGGAACACTTCTTGGGAATGTTTTGTCGCGGTATTTTTGTGAAGGGTGCTCTACATTGCTGACAAATCTAGAACAATGACATAGATTGTGGTGCTATTGACTGATGTCAGTTGGTCGCATTGCGCTTCTTTAATTGGCATGCTGGTTTCCGCTTAAGTGTGCTCACGTGTTGCTTTGTCGCCACAACAAACCGGTCGTGATATGATAAGTGATCTTCCTCCGTCGCTCGCGCTTACTCGGGTTTTCCATTTGACACCACAGCATGAAATGGGTCCTGGTCTTATCGTGCAGCGACAGCTGAGAACAGCTGAAAGGTCTAGTCGTCGCTAGCAGCGATCCTCGCGCCTCTTTCGCCGTACGCAGTCAGGTCTTACCTCACGATATGCGCAGTCCCTCCCGCTCTATATCGCACCGGTACATCCTGGCGCGTGCTACCGCCCGTCGCGAGGCGTCTTCGCGCTCGTTGCCTGACCCGTGCCGTCCCATCCCGGCGTGGGGTGGGACCGTTCAGCGGCCGACCCAGCCGACCGCGGCCGCTGACCGCCGCGTCCGCCACCAGAGGCGCTGGGGGAGCTGGACCTGGACGGGCTGCACATGCTCACCAACCAGGAGGAGGAGGTGATCGACCCCAGCGCCGAGCACTGCTTCCGTATGGAGTCGCTGGGCCAGTAGGCGATGCTGCGAGCGGAGCTCCGCGTCCGCATATCAGGCGTGTCGAGGCCGTCCCGCCGCCGCCGCCCCGCCGGCAGGCTGCCCGCCGCGGCCGCCGCCGCCGGCCGGGCGCTCGGCAGGGGCGAGGCCAGTGGCGGGAGGCCGGCGCCGCTCGCGTGTCCGCGTCTCTGTGTGTGATTCTTCGGCGGGACGCCAGGTCGGCCGCCGCGTCGTGAGGTTCGAGTCCGTGCCGGAGTGGGCCGGCCCCTCGTCTGCCCGCGCGCCGGCCGTCCCGCCGTGGTTGGCGGCCGGCGCCGAAGCTGGCGCGTCGGCCGGAGTGTCCGCCCGTTGTGGCCGCGGGCTTGGTGTCGCCGCCGGCGCGGGGTGGCTCTGAGGCCGCCGGGGCGTCGCGGCCCACCCGGCAGTGCTCATCCTTGCGGGTCTTCTGGCTGTGGCCAAGCTTGGTGTTGTCAACGTGTGCCCTGCGCCGGCAGCGCCGCTCTTACGCGTGCGCTGTACATGCGCCAGACGTAATCTGCATGTTAATCACACCCCGCGCCAATAGCCAATGCGGTCCCGAGGCGTCTCCACTGCACAGGCTCCCGCGTACGCTTGGCATGCCGCCAACATATTTTGCTACAGTTCAACGTGTACACGCACGCACATTGGCGTACAAGGGATGTGCTGTCAGCCGACCCGCTGGTCGTGTCTCGGTCGTGTGCGGCGCTTCCCTCCCGCTGCGCATGGGTCCACACTGCCGGCTCGCCGGCCGCCGTGTGGGCGCGAGCCGCCGGCCGCGTGCCGGTCCGGTGTGGGGTGGGGAACGGTGGCTGAGCGGCTGCCGCCGCCGGCGGACAGCTGGCTCCTGGGCGTCGGGCGGGATTCGGCCGTGTGGGCGCCGGCCAGGCCTGGGCGGGGAAGGCTTGCTGAGGCGGAAATGAGCAGGTCCCGGTGAGGCCGCTGGGGCCGGCTGGACTGTGGTGAGGGGGAGGAGGTGGGAGGGAGCGGCGGGCGAGGCGGCGGTGAGGAGAGGGGGCCCGATGGGACGGGAAAGAGGGTCTTTTAGAACTGAAGGCGGGGTGGGTGCTATGGATGAACAGTGGCGAACTGCGTCTCGGGGTGCTACTTCGAGCAGTTGACCTTTGCTATTTCACCTGGAAGACCCGGGACGCGTGGACGCCGGTTGTAGGCATTAACTTATGTTGGGAAGAATCTAGCTCAAATTGTCGATTCTTCTACGTGTTGTTATGCTGCGCCCTTCCTTGATAGATAGTTTTACAAACTCTTAAACAAAGCTGCTGTCGGGATAGATTTGAGGTGTCTTTAATTTCAGAGGTTTTGTTCCGTAATTTGTTAATGTCACGTTGTTATGTCATAGCTCATGCCAGTCACCAGGAGCATATAGCTAATATTTTTGTGGATCGGACCGCCCGGGCAGTTTGTCAAGATAAAGTAAGGCACCTTTGCAATAGCGGGGCATGCAATATAACTACGAGATCTCGTTGATATGCCATTTAAAATGCGGAACGCCCGCGGACTGGCCGGCACACCCATTACGCGGGAGCGGCTCAAGCAATGTCCAAAAGTCATGTATGGTCGTTGGCGAGGATGTAGGTAGAAGATGGTGGGTGGTCAGTCATTGTCTGACAGCTGCCGTTCGATGGTGCTTCGGACGCGTAACACGCGGGTAGCGCTGCAGCCACCGGAGGATCCCCACTGGCGCTCACATCCGTGCAAATGATAAAGGGATGGGTTTGCAATGGGACCGTCGGTGACATCATTATGGGACTTCTAAAACGATGACCCCGCTCTCGGCGCCTGGCTGATAAGTGAGCACCCTAGTGGCTTCCGGCAGCTGAGCGGGCGACATCGCGGCCAAGTCCCGATGGCTGTGGGGCTACACTTCGATCAGCTCCGTTCCGCACCTCCTTGCCTCGCGTTGCTGAGATACGCCGGGCCGCCTCGCCTGTTACGGTCGTGCTCAGCGCAGGCATCCCTCTGTATGATGCCGGAAAAGAGTGTGTTGAGTATCCTGGCCTGGCGCGAGCTGGGTTTTTCATGGGGCTCCCAAAAGTGCGCTTTGACGAAGCCTGCGCTAGGCTTGAGTGGCCTTCTAACGTTCATTGAAGCGTTTGCTCCGCTGCCATTTTCCGTGCGAACTCGGCAGTGTGCTCGTCACAAAATCTTGTCTAGCGTTGATGGCTACCTGGGATTTCGCTACGATGGCTTTGTGCTTCAGTGTGGGTGAATGATTCGTTGCATTGTCTTATGTCAAATGCGTATGTTGGCAGAATGTCGACGGACGTGCTACGGGGCGAATGAATGTTTGCGGGTTTGAAAAGCTCTAAGAACTCGGTGAAGCGCTTGGGTTGTGGCGTGTGGTTGCGCGCATTCTGTCTAGGGCTTCGTTAACAGTGCCTGAGTTGTTTGCTAGTCTGACCTATTGTTTTGATCGTTGTTTTAGGAATTATGGGATGCTTTGAGTTGATTGCTGCTGGAAGTCCATAGTTTTGAAGGCTCCAGACCCGGCGTGTCCGATGATGATTGCACATCGCATCTCTGGTCAGTTTATCGATTTGGACAAATTTTATCTTTGTTTGGCTCATGGCCATCTCACTGTACATATTCTATTCTCATGCGATCGTGCGCAAGTATGCTACATTATGGACAGTCATCGCTTATTTTGTATTCAGAAGTGACCGCCACTGCGCGCCGGTCCGCTCTTTCAAGCTCGCCGCGGGGCATTTACGGGGCCGTCGCGGCTGACGCGCTTCAGGCGGCCGATGGCTGGGGGGCCTGCTCCCGGTTTTGTACGTCTATTCGCGGCGCCCGCCAGTGGTGCGCCCGTTTTACAGGCTTTCCACTGTGGTCTCGCCTTTGGTCTTGCGTGTGCTTGCGGTGGCGCTGGTGCCGGGCGCGGGGCCGCGGTGTGCCGGCCGGACCTGCGGGCGCTGCCTCCGGCGGCGTCGGTGGCGGAGGGGCGCGGCCGCCCCCAGCGACGCCGCGGGGGCCGGCCGAGCCGTGGGCGACGAGTACAAAGACGGGTTCGGGTGGGCGCCGGGCTCTGCGGGGCCGGGGGCCGGGCGGAGGGGGGCGAGCGCGCGCCTCGGCCAGATGTTCATTCATTGTTCACAGTGTTGTTCTAATTGCTGTGCAATACTACCCGTCTCCGTTCTCATTGCGCCGCCATCTTGTCGTTGCATTCGTTGTTCAGGTGTGCGTGTGCGTGTATCATCTTTTTACCTGAATCTAATAAAAACACCCAGCGTGTCTGGGTCTTATGGAGTCGAACCCGATGTTTACGTGTCAGGAGTGCAGGCGGACGTGGTCAAGGTTCGCGATTTACGCCATTGGCAGAGGACCATCTGCGGCGCGTGTACACGGTGCTCCTGTACGGAGGCACCGATTGCACGAAGCATGTAAACAACGCACTTCCTCGTGTCGGATCCATGTAGAAAAACGCGCGCCACTTGCGTTTGCTCAGTTAAAGAGAACATGCTGATATTTACCAGCGAGACGCTTGTCTGGCGTCGAGACCAGCGGGGCGACAGCGGACGTCGGAGCTTCCTGCTGGCATTGTCAGCGAAACGCTGCCATGCTGCTGTCATTTTCAACGCTGCCAACTGCAAGGCCAGGTCGGTAAGGGCACAGCATCCTGCTGGGTGGATAATATTATTGCGCAGCGAGCGAGAGCGCTGTGGCCCGGTGCCAATACGCTATCGCGGTCTTATGCGTAAGAGGGCGGCGCTGAAAGGCTTTCATGACATGGCAAGTTTACGTCCCACGTATTTGAACGGGGACGATTTATCAGTGCTCGAAAGCTTTTAACGTCGCAGCTCGCCTGATACTGAGTGAGCTGGCTAACTCCCACTACTCCTATCCCCCCCTATCCCCCTTGTTCAACAAGCGCTGTCGCGATAGCACGAGGGTGAAGTGTCTAGTGGAGGCCCATCATCGCGCGGCTTACCCGATACGGTCCAGGTCTGCGATCTCGAGAGCGATACCGAGCGAGGCCTCCGCATCTCCCGGCTGACGGGCGCGTGAGCCGCGATAGATAAGTCGGGATTACCGCGTCCATGACATACCGCCGGTGCGGAGGAGCAGCGCTAGTGCCGACTGCACCCCAGTGGCGACCCATCCCAACCAGGGAGCAGCGCCGGTGCCGGCTACACCCCAGCAGCCACCCACGCCGGCGAGCAGGCAGACAGCGGTGGAGTGAGCGGTCGAGTCGCGTGCTCCGCCCGGCAAGGTCGGTGATGTTTGTTCAGCGTCTTTGTCAAGGAGGAAGTGTGATTGAAGGAGAGGTAGCGGGGTCTGTCAGGGAGTGTGTGTGGTTGGTGGACAAGTCAAGTGCTCCGTCAGGGGGGGGGGGGGGGTCTGATTGGTGAGGAAGTCGCGGGTGTGTCAGAGAGGGTGCGTAACCTCACATAGCCCACGACATCTCCGCCAATTATGCACCTTCTCTGACAGATACCGTGACCCCCTCCATCGGTCAGCTAGCGTTGATGTTCTTCCAAGCACACATACGCTTCACGTGAACGGAATCGAAGCCGCTTCCAAAATCGAGCCGATTTTGCTAGAATTTGATTGGATGGTTACCTCCACTGGTTATCCAGCTGAATAAGCCTAAAACTTTGTGTTCATGGGCTTGGGAAGAGCCAAAGCCGACTAGATAATGTTTAAAGAAACCTAGCTCAAAAATGATCCAACCACAATAGCGGGTTTTTATATGGTTCATTTCACACTGCCCAGTGTGAGTCACCCAGCTATTATGGGGGAAAACACATTAAATAAACCATGATAATTTGAAAAGTGTCTCGCCGGGGATTTAGAGCGTCGTGTTATGAGATTGAAATTGCCAAAACCTATAGCTGCACTTTTAGTTATTTACGGCTAGACTTCTGACCAAAATTCTGGATTGCGGATAAATGTTCCGGATTCTGAATCAGGTTCATCGCAGCTACGCCCAGATCATATGCGCATTCAAGTTCAATTTTCAGCCCCGCTTTAAATTGAATTGGGATTAAGCTTTGCTTGCCTTTATTCGCATTATGAATATATTCTACCCTGTCGAACATATTTTTGGAGCGTAGGAGTCGAACAAATTTTGCTTTCAATCTGTAGGTAAATGTTGTGCCCATTTGCACGACAATTCTTTGGTGCCGGCGGTGTCAGGGAGATTACAGCAAATTGTGCTGTAATAAATCTTGAAATCCTTGGTCCCGGTTGTAGCAAAGTAGCGGATGTGTTGTGGCCACGCGTGCCGCTTGGAGGCGTGCCCTCGACGCTTTCGATTTATGGCGTCCAGTTGAGTGCGCCATCTGTACGCCAGCTGGCGTTCTGGCCTGGAGGTACGCCATTGCACCTCCGCACGGAAGTGCGTACCCAGTCCGTTGAATCCTCGGCAAACGCGGGATCTGTGCTGTGCGCCGGCTCGACCGGCGTGGCTGGCAGGGATGACTGGCACAACCGGCGTGACTAGCGGGTGTGACTGGCTCGGACGGCGTGACTGGTGGGTGCGACTGGCTCGACTAGCGTGACTGGCCGGCGTGACATGCAGGCGTGACGGGCTTCAGTGCCTTCTTGTTGATACGTCTGTCAATACGATGACCCCCCAGGTCAGGTCGGCGCAACCGACGTGCGCGTGTGCACTCATAAGCGCCCTTCTTTTGATGTGGTAGAATGTTCCGTTTTGGCTATCTCGGATTTCTGGGAGCAGAATGGGTCCTCCTTTCGATGAGCCTAAAAACATGTTTGCCCCCTTGTCAAATAGCGGAGGGTATTTGCCATTAGCCTCAGGTGGCACTAGCTCTGACCACCACGGCTACAGCTCTGCCGGCGTCGTCCACGTCCGCCAGTCCCAGCATCCTCGCATGTCCACTACGCCCGAGAGTCTGTGCCGACCTGCTCATGCCCACAGCACCTTTGCGTACCGCCGCCGCCGCCAAGAGTTCACCACAGACTCCCCACGTCCGAAGCCTCCCTGCCGCGGTTGCCCGTCGTCGCCGTGCCTGCGCAGCGCAGTCTGACGCCATGGATGACGTGCTGAAGGCCAAGCTGGTGGCGCTGGCCGTGCTGGGCCTGGGATCGCTGCTGGCCGGCTGCCTGCCGATGACGGCGCTGGCCGTGCTACGGCGTGGCAAGCGCGGCCACCAGGCGGCGCTTCGGGTCTCCCCCGACCACCCCATCTTCTCGTTCTTCCTCTGCTTCGGCGCCGGCGTGCTGCTGTCGACGCTGCTCTGCCACATGGTGCCCGAGAGCCTGGAAAGCTGGAGCGACATCCAAAGCAACGATTCCGTGGTCGCCAACGACGTGCCGCTGCCCAGCATCCTCATCGGCGTCGGCTTCTTCCTGGTGTACCTGCTGGAGGAGGTGGCGCATAAGCTGCTGCACGGCGCGCAGCCGCGCGCGGCCGCGCGCGTGCAGCCGGACGTGGCGCTGGTGTCGACGCCAGCGAAGCTGGCTGATCCCGGTGACGGCGGACTGGACGCCGGAGCACTAGAGGTGCAGCACGGCCACGACGGCCACGCTGGCTCCGGTGAGGACCACGTGCACGGCACTGGAGGCGACGAGGGGCACTCGCACGGCGCCGCCATCGCCAGCGCGCATGGCGGCACGCTGGTCACGATGCTGCTGCTGGTGGCGCTCTCCTTCCACGCAGTCCTCGAAGGTATTGCCGTTGGCGCAGAGGAGAATACCTCCAACGTCTACCTCATGCTAGCCGCCGTCAGCAGCCACAAGTTCATCCTGGTGTTCATCCTCGGCCTGGAGATGCTGACGTCTTCGCTGCGGCCGGTGGCACAGGTCGCCTGCGTGCTTGTGTTCACCGTCGCCACCATGCTCGGCATCGGCATCGGTATCGGCGTACTGCAGCTGGAAGTGACAGGCCTGGCGCACGACGTGTCGCTGATGGTGATGCAGACGCTGGCGTCCGGCACGCTCATGTACGTCTGCTTCATGGAGGTGCTGACGCGCGAACGCAGCCGTCAGGGTCACGCCATGGCGCGCTTCGCCTGCACGGCTGCCGGCTTTGTGCTTATCGCCATCCTGGTCAGCCTGGTCACCGAGCCGGAGGAGGATGAGGGGGCGGAGGACCACCGGGTCCGGATCTGGTGAGACGCCGTTGTCACCCCGATCTGCACGCCGGCGGAGGGGAGAAGGGAGACACCGCTGCTGCCTAGTATCCGACGTGAAGAAAGGCTGAACTTAAGGCGGCGCTGGTCAGCGGAGGTGCTCGGCCCAAAGTCGTGTCTTCAAGGCACCTAGCAGCACCTTGTCTCGGCGAGTTATGTACCGCAATGTGGGGCTGGCCGGACAGAGCGGACAGTGGCTGTCAAGGGGTGACTGTATGGCCACTGGAATACTTTGCTGTAAGAAATGTATACCCATGTAGTGAATGTCAGATGTGCAATCATCCAACCTTGACCAACAAGCGTGTAGCAACGTCAGATAGCATTTTGTCGTGCGTCAGCCAGGGCTCCTGCGTATGAATGGACCGTATCATCCCAATGCTCCCGGCAATCTTGTCCGCACGTTCGAGTAAATCTGCCACAACTTTGATGTTAACCGCTCACACACTTCACAATCTGGAGGACTGAACGCTTTTTAGGAGAGTAATCACGAATTGTTGTTAACGAAAACGTTTTCACACATGGTTTCTGATCGATAGAAACGATGGGGGTTACCAATGTTCGACCCTGCGGGCTCAGATGTGTGTGCGCTGGCTAACCGCTCTCTGCGACGCGCTACATGTACCGGCGTGTAAACCTGCCCAGCATATGATCACATACGATGTATATATTATATTACGACACTGGCTGAATTACCGCTTTTGTTACGTATATTACCACAGACCATCACAGTGGCTGCGACGATTATGCTGTGGGCTCAAAGCAGTTTTGCTGTAAAGTGTGAGCAATATGACGAAATAATTGACAGCAACATGCAGCGTGCCTTCAGCGGTGGGCTGGATATTTTCCAGATGTCTGCGATGCGACGCGACGTTTTCGCCAAGTCAGAATTAAGGGCCGGGATTGGGAACCCCTTGCATTGATCTGGACGGCATACAGTATACTGCATACACGCATGTATATGCAAATGCATATAAAGTATGCGTACTCAAAGTATGTGCGCACAAAGTATGCATATCAAAAGCATACATACACAACGTATACGTATGTCCAAAATATATAGCATGTCAAACATGCTTGCATAAATTCATGCGAACTGTATACTAAATGCATGCTTTCAAAGGCAGTGTCTCAAGATTCCTGCTCGAGGCCGTGCACTGGAACCAAAGTTCGCCCACGCCGTCTTTCTAGACCGCAGCACAACGCATCTCATCTGAAGGTACTCAGTCCAATCCTGGGTGAGCTCATTTACTTGGGCAAGGCCGAGGACTTGGCAAGCCGCTTCCTACCCGTGGCTATAAACGGCGACATGGCGCTTAATTATCTCTTGTCCCAATTTCACCGAACCTGGAAGGGCTTTGCTACGCAGGGCACGTGAGATCGTTGGGTTAATGATCACAGGCGCTGAAAAACCGACGTATGATGAAAGGTGCACACACAGTGCATTCCAGCGAGGTCCGGTGGCAGTAGCGATTAGCACGGCGGCTCGAAGCGAAGGCCACTGCGATACTCGCGCACAGTGACCGCAGTGACGCCCGTGTACAGCGAACGCAGTGGCGCTCGTGTACAGTGAATACAGTGGCTGCGGTAACGTTCGTGCATAATGACTGCAGTGATGCCCGCCTTCAATATGCAGTCAATGTGCACAGCATCCATACCTGTTTGTGTCTGTTGTGGCTGCTTACGACACACAACTCCCAAAGCTTTGGAAACGAGCCCCAGTTTAAACCCGGGATGTGTCGTTCCCGCGGTGTGCACTTGCATTGCATCGTTGATTCTTTCATGAAGACAATGGCGGCGTGCTGACTGGTCCGCCTAATTCTGCCAGGTGACTGTATTCGTTAAATGTATTTGTGTATCTAGATTTTGTTACCGCCCGTTGTTCCTTTCGCACCTTTCCCGAATTCCTTTGTTCATGATGAACCCTTCAGTGTTATCACCGCCACTTTCAGCCAGTTGTACAACCAAAGCATATTTTGTTTCAACGCATCCTTGCATTGGTGGTTATAATGAGCTGCAGTGCTCATGTCTCGAAGCTGGGAAACTACCTGTTCGCTCGCGACACCTGCAATGATGCAACAGGTCACGTTCCATGCGACGGGCACCACACCAGCCGACGCGTTAAACCAGGCGACAAGAATGGGACAAAGTGGAAATGAGGCACGAACGAACGACAAAACGTGGTAACGAGTGCCTATCGCACCGGCAGAAAAAGACGCGGATCACGCCGGGGATGACAGGCATCACGCATGTATTTGTAGTATAACAATAAGCTCGTGCGGGGCCCGGTGCCGGCCGTGTAATGCCCGCCCGGCGTCGTTCCAGACAGCAGTGGTCGCGCGCCGCTCCGCCAGTACATCTACTGTCGCTTGTGGGTTTAACACCACAGCCGGCGAAAACTCTCGAAACCTTGCTCGATCGCCGTCTAACATAATGCTGCCTCAGTGTTCCTACATATATTTACACACATTTTGGGCGGCGCGATGCTCCGCTCCCACCGCGCACAGAGGCAGTGAGCGGACTGCTGAGCAAGTAACGAGAAACTGACGCGCCTGCCGCGACCGGCGCCGCTGACTTGTTAAGTAACACCCGTGGACTACCGCGTATAATGGGTGACTCGCGCCTTCCGAGTAGGGGCGACGGCGGACTAGACCCGGGCCGGTCCGCACGGGGACGCCCATCTATTGCTCCCCGACCCGCGGCCACTACCGAGGCGGGCGAACACTTCACCCAGGTCACACTGCGGACCTACGACCCTACTCTCGGCTGCGGATGCTGACCGGGTCAGCGCCGGGTCAGGCACCCGGACCACACACACACACACACACACACGCACGCACGTACGCACGCACGCACGCACGCACGCACGCACGCACGCGTGCGTGCGGGTGCGCGAACACTAACCTCGACACCTGATACAAGCGCGGCCACTCCGCTGCTGCGGCTGGCGACGCGCGGAACACCCGCCCTGTCGCTGCGCGGATCGCGGTCCAGCGCCGCCACCGCAAACTGGCCCAAAGACACGGGGACGCTACGCGTTGAGCATACAGTCGCCGGGCGGCGTCGACCTGGTATGTTTCAGCGCCACGGACCGTACCTCCGTCACAGGGGCACCTCGTGAGACCACGACCCGGGCGAGTGTACCCCGACAGGGTGCGCCCCAAGAGACCACAGCCCGAGCGAGTGTACCCCGACAGGGTACGCCCCAAGAGACCACAGCCCGAGCGGGTGTACCCTGAGCGGGGCGCACCCCAAGGGACCACAGCCCGAGCGGGTGTACCCTGGGCGGGGCGCACCCCAAGGGACCACAGCCCGAGCGAGTGTACCCCGGGCGGGACACCCCGCGGCAGGTACGCCCTGGGCGGGACCCCCGAGGCAGGTACGGCCCGGCGGGACCCCTGGGGCGGACACACGGCGCGTGCGCTCCGGACGGCGGCGAGACTCCGCGGACGGTCGGCCTACTCCCGCTTCCGGCTGGTCTGCCCGTAAGACGACGACCTGCTGATCTTGGTGAGACCGATCATCTTGTACATGCTGAAGAACACTGCGAACGGAGCGACCCGTCAGGGTACGCCACAACGGCGTCAGCTGTCGACGCGCCGCGGCGGCTCCGAGTCGCCGGACGCCAAGGCGAGAAATACGCCAAAACTAATGGATATGATAATGACCGATATGCAACACCATTGGTGCCAAAATCACCAATTGCATCAAGGTGAACAGCTTATCACATCAACGGCGAAAGAACTGCCCGGAGTACGCTAACGGCCAAGACAGCAGTATCTAGCATTTGCAAGCCTTCAGTAAACACAACATTTTGTGAGCGACAAATGCCAGCATTCAGAACTCGTCTGAGACCCGCGAACGGCAAAAATACAAGACAAACGTGCTTTAGACAAAACGACACCTGAGACAAAACAGCACAACGGAGGGCAGAACAAATGAACCACTTAGTAGAGTAAACAGGCCCAGACTTGAACCAAGCATACTGACACAGCAAACCAACATCGCGTGTTCTTGAGTACCCCTCGCATTATCCCGGTCGCATTGCATTTTTCTGATCTTACCAAATCAATCAAAACGACACAATTGTCTGGAGCATCATCGCTCACGAACAAAGACACCGGAAAAAGGCTCCGCCCATCATTCTACTAAATCACTAAGGACTTCCCTCTGTCGTCTCAGCCCCACCTCTGATAGTGATGAGCTCCCTCCACCTCGTCCGCCAGGTCCAGCCGCTCCGCTCAGTGTCATACTCTGCCCGACAAAGACGCCCACCTACGCCCCCTCATCATCCCTCTCACCATCACACCGGCCACCCGTCAGCCAGCACCCCTCCACCTCCACCGACCCTGCCGTGGGAAGCGGTCCTCTCCCCCGCCTCCTGCCGCCTACCACACCCATATCCCCTCCCTCCAGTCGCCCCCAGCACGCACCTCACCCCACCTCGCCCCTTCTCCCCGCCGGGCCACTCACACAGAGCCACGACGAGCAGGCCGGAGACGACCTGCACGGTGGAGCCGGACAGCAGGAGTGCCAGCAGCGAGCGCACCAGCGGCGTCAGCACCAGCGCCGCCCACGCCGTCGTGTTGAGTAGCGAGAAGAAGCGCCGCGGCAGGCGCACCGTCGTCAGCTCACGCGCGCCCGACAGCTGGGTGAAGCTGCCCGTCTCGTGGTATGACGTCAGCATCTTGTCCTGCGGAGCGGCGAGAAGCGCGACGTCAAACGGTCGTGAAGGGAGTGTAGGAAACGGGTGGGGAAACCGTGTCTCGCAGCAGGTCGCAAACTTGGGGATACCTGTCATCAGCCTATCCCAAGGCAGCGACAGGGAGGAGCGTCAGCAAACTGTCGCGGGAGGAGCACAGGGAGTGACGTTATCCGACTGTCGCGTGAGGAGCACAGGGCGCGACGTCAGCAAACTATCACGTGAGGAGCACAGGGCGTGACGTCAGCAAACTGTCGCGTGAGGAGCACGGAGTGACGTCAACATACTGTCGCGTGAGGAGCACAGGGAGCGATGTCGTCAGACTGTCGCACGAGTAGTGCGGGGAGTGACGTTAGATGTCTCGTCACAGGTAGACAACCAGTCATTCTACATTTCCTCATCCGACCCCCAGTTGATCACCTAACCCAGCGCTACGAGGAGTCGCCCCGTGCCCACCCCGATCTGCACCTACACCCCGGGCGAGGCGGCGGACCGGCCCGCGGTCGCACCTTCTGCCGGTACAGCTTGTGCAGGAACTCGGCCGCCTCGCTCTCGTCCTCAGGCACCTCGTCCATCGGTATCCGCTCGATGTACATGTCGCCCAGGATCTTCTTGCCGCGCACCATGTTGGTCAGCGTCGGCTCGGCGTAGTTCTCCCTGAAACGGACGCCCGCTGGTCGTCAGGGACCCGGGCAGAATATGTCCGATATATGGATTTGTGAAATGCACTTTCCGTACTCCTGTTCTAATTTGTTGTGCGTGTTGCGGTACAAACGGACAATGTACTCAAGTACACGAAGACATCTGATTTTGTTTGCATCGCGCCCGCAATAGGCTAAGACGACCAATAGTCTTCGTATTTGAACCCACTCCATCATCGAAGAACTCGGAAATCGTCCCGACAGACGATCACCGCAAACGAGCCGCGGCTAGCGTGGATCCCACACCACCTTGCGACGGAGCTGTTCGGTTACCGCGGCTTCAGGCACTGTGTGTGCAACCATTCGTGCAGGGCCTGAGCCGAGGGTGCCGACCACGCACGCACGCACGCACGCACACACGCACGCACGCACGCACGCACGCACGCACGCACGCACGCACGCACGCACGCACGCACGCACACACACACACACACACACACACACACACACACACACACACACACACACACACACACACACACACACATACAGATAATAAATCGCCACACATGCGGCGATTCACTCGGTCCCGGGGCCGGACGCACGGCGAAACAGCCCACTCCGAAGGCCGGCCTCTCAGCGTCTCGGGGAGGCCGCGCCCGTCCCGAGCCACCGTTGTCCGTCGGCGAACAGGCAACAACGGTGGACAACACCCAGAACGCCCAATGGCAGTAACAGCAATGTCTTGACGACCGGATCAGAGCTCAGTCTCGCCGGACACGTGGGAACGAACGAAACTCCTAAGATCGCCAGCGAAAACGCTACAGCCTCGCCGCCACTCCCGGCGCTCGGGCCGCCTTCCTCAGCATCAACACTGCGGCGCGGCGGAGACCCGCCGCCAGCGCCATCCCCGGGATCAAACGGACACGATCATCTGTCATCTGCGAGGCCGATCGTGAGCTCTCGGACGCCAGCCGCTCGGTTGCTGGATCCTGCGCTGCAGCTGGGCAGCAGTCTCCCGGCGCGCGATCAGCTGACGCAGCGCGGCCGTCCTCCAGCGAAGGGCACTGACGAGGCGGCGAACTCTGACACGGACCGCAGCAGCAAGGGGCGCGCCGCCGTCAGCGAACAACGGCACACGGAAGTATGTGCGTCATTGAGGCTTTACGACGCACCCAGCTGCGGAGGCGACATGGCGTCGCCTGCCTCTCACCCTGGCGGGAAGGGCGGGCGGGCAACGCGGGAAATCAAACCCCGTACCTCTCGTTTCCCAGAAGCGTAGTGGTTAACGCAGGCGCGTCAACCACTACACTACCGGCACCCAACACACCCTGCACCCTGCACACACCTGCACACTGCACTTCCTGCACACGGAAGTACTCGGTCAACGACACCTGAACATGACTGAAAAAAGGCCGGCCCGAGCCTGGCCGGGGCAAATACAAGACACCCGCTTCCTCAACTGGATTCAAAATAACGCCGTGAGGCAGCCTTTGGTCATATTTCGGGGCCATCGGCGCCGTGTGGTCATGTTGGTGAACCCTGAGAACGACGGCTCTATTCTACACAGAGGGAGATCAAGCGAGGCCCTCGAGTCAGCACAAAGGTCAGCAAAGACATCGTGGCCAATGCCCAGAAGACGCCGGTCATCACGACTTTCCGTTCATCCTCGTCCCACACCAGAGGTAAAGTTAATATATTGGTATCTCCAACAAAAATTTGAAAGATGAATCACCTCTGAACCCCGGGGGTCACACAGTAAAGCCTGCTTTAGCAGCAAAGCCATACTTGCTTACTAACGCCAATATTCCCACTGATAAATTGGTCAAGCTGTAATTTCACCACTGTTGCGTCCACGCGCATAAACATACATATGTAACAAGTACGTGCAAGGCATAGGCAATCCACATCATTCATCACTTCCATGAATCAACAAACACACACCTGAGGACACACACCTCCATGACAACAGCTCCTAAGCCGTCAGTTGATAAACGAACGCTAATCTATCCACCAAACAGCTTGACCCTGCGGCCCAACAGCCAGTCGGTAACCAGACCGGACACTTATCTTAACACAAACACGCGCCTCACAACAGCTGCAAACTGCCACTCATCGTACAGCCGACCGACACGACTCCGACCTTATGAACCGAGCCGACCGATCCACGAGGCCCGGTCGAGCTCGGGGGGAAACCAGGCGGCTGCCCTGTCCGCAGCAGTCGGCCTACAACAGCCGGTAGCCCGCAGCCAGTGGCCAGCAGTCCGGCGGATGACAGATGCTGACCACGCTCAGACAGCTCTCGGTCATCAGCACGTGCCAGTCGCAGTCCACAGCGATCCCCCCAGCAACCAGCAGCACACAACAGCCGCAGATTCAGTCGCGGCAGTCGCGCCCAATCGGCTCCAGGGAGAGACAGCCTTCACAGCAGCGCTGACCACGCCTGGACAGATCGCAACAGCCAGGGGCCACCAGGACAGAGTCAGCCGCAGTGGCACCCCAGTCTGCGAGCTCGAGCTCGCCTGAAGATCGCCAGCCAGCTGGAGGATCATCAGCCGACCTGCAAATTACCGCGGACTCCCAGCGCCCGCTGCAGCTCGCGACCTGGTGTGTCGGTGGAGCGAGGTTCGTGGCGCTCGCCAAGCCGGCGGCAATGCGGAGGATTATCACATGCTAACCCATGAGATGCGCGATAGGCCGCGGCTTGCGAGAGGACATGGGACGGCGCGTTGTCCCGTGTTGTCGAGCAGGCAGGCTCCGTCATTCGTTTATCAAAATATCCGCCAGGCTGTCCGCGGCGGCTAGACAACACGAATCACGGCTGTGCGCGACGCTGATGAACTTTCATGGTGGTAGCACGGCGATTTGCACGCCACATGGCCGAACAGCTAGCAGGGCCGCGCATTTTTGCAGGCTGACCGTATTGGCTGGTGAGCCTTTGCCGTTTCGACTGTTGACTATGGCCCTGAAATACGCGATGAGTGGCATGCGTAACACGTCAGCCTGCCGTGCTGATGGTCTTTGCATTCGTGCTTACAAACTGTGCCATGATGCGATCGGTGAGCCGCTGACGAACGCTTCAAACGCCCGACTCGGCAGCATTAGCTTTCCAGTCGCCTGAAATCACCGCATTCGCTATCCCATTCGTAAATGTTCTAGCCGCCAGCTTCAGATCCAATCCATCCAGCTTCAATCCCTGCCATGGAAAAATCACTGCGCGATTCGTTCAGCGTCAACGCTATGCCTACATTTAGCACAAATGCCTTCTTTTCCAGACTCGGCACCGTTCCATGACAGGTCACTAGACCGAGACCGCGCCAATCCATGAACCTTTGTTGTTGTTAGCAAGAGTTTCACAGTGCGCCCATTGCAGGTCATACGGCGCCCATGCCATAGCTATTTTATCAACAAGGTGAATATATACAGCAAAACGCAATTTCTGCAAGGAATGAAAAGAGATGGCCACCATCAATCAGTTGCGGGTGATCACCAGGAATATACCTTAGCGTACGGGACGTACCATTTCGCCAAAAGTAGCGCGTATGCTCCCGGACGAATTGTGGACACAATTTAACCACGTGATACATGGTACGGAACGCAGCATGGATATCAAGGTCCGTCACCACCACACAGCAAGTAGTGGTGAGTCTGGCACGTGTGGCCAACACGCAACCTGTGGAGCACAACTTGCTTTCGCCCCGCCTCATTGAGCTGGAAAACCATAGGGCCAAATCGGGTTTTACATATTTCAATTTGTTGTTTGATTAACTATCCAAACAGGACTGCCACTTGCGTTGTAAGAATGGTAACTGGCTGGACGCAATTTTCGAGCTGGAAGAGACGATCCGCGTGTAAATGGTGCATGTGATGCGCCTTTTGCGGCTGAGTCATCGAGCTCGTATCCAAGGATACCGGCATGAGTAGGAATCCAGCAAAGCGTCACCTTTTCCAACTCCTTCCAATGCAGTGAAACGGTCCAAAATGTCCTGTAAAAGAGGACATGATGGGTTATAAGTTCTCAACGTCAAGAGGGCGCTCAAAGAATCTGATAAAATGAGGTGCAAGGACTTCTCCCCAACTTCAATGCGACACAGCGCTTTAATAATAGCCACCAGTTCAGAGGTGAGTACCGACGCGCGGTTTGGCAGCGCAAATGATCGGGTGACGGGTCCACTCACTACCGCGACGGACACGAGCTATGGCCGGCTCCTGCTCAGCCAGGCGTGCCCGCTTTGCCTCACAGGCACGCCTGTCCGCCTCGTGCCGCTCCAGGGTCTCACGCGCTCGTCTAGAAGCGCTCGCAGCAGGCGTCGCGGAGAACGACGGCAGCTGGCTGCCGGACCGCGAGGCCGGTGAGGTCGCGAGGCTCGGCCGCGCCGAACCACCATCCACCCCCCCCCCCCCCCCCCTTCGTCGGCGCATCCGACGGTGCCGCGGAGGTCGGCAGCACGGCGGGCACCGGGCCACCGCGGCCGCAGCGGAGCCGGCCGCAGACAGAGACGGCGATTCCGCAAGCCATGCCGCGGTGTCCGGAGTGAAAGTCGAGTGCGGGGCGGAAGCCGATGGCACTACAGACGGACCGGACGTCTTGTGAGGTATAACTGACCTTCGGACGGCTCTCCTCGCGTAACTCTCTTGCTTCCCGGAATATATTTGTTTTCAGAATTTGAGCGTGACTATCCCCTTCTCCTGGCATCAGCTGGATAAGACGTATCGAACGTGTAGCGAACGAGCTGCTCTCTACCACAATGCGCACACCACGGCTGGTCTGCGGTACAGTGGTCCGTTGTATGGTCTAATGACGAACACTTGCCACAAACAGCCTGATTGTGACAAGTGGTCCTCGTGTGTCCAAATCGCTGACAACCGAAGCATCTGATCGGATTGGGGATAAAACGGCGCACTTTTACAATCACATAGCCCACTCTGATGTCCTGCGGTTGGTCAGGTCTTTCAAAGGTGAGGACGATATTGGTCGTAGGAATCAGGTCCGCACCACGTCCCACCTTAATCCGACGGGCGTCAGTAACCCCAAACTCGGCCAACCCTTCTACAATCTCGTCTTCACTCGCACCCTTTAGGTCAAAACAGCTGACGATTCCCTAGGCAGATTGTTTTGTTGTGCGCATCTCTATCAGAGCGAGCGATACGTCTCGCTTGCCCTCTGCGTACCGCACACTGCACACGAAACGTGTAGCAACCATCGCTCGCTTTGCATCCTCTCCGTTGCTAAATCCCACCTCTACACTGCCATCCCGAAGTTAATCACATCGTACCACAGCGCCGAAACAGTCACATCCACTTCGACGCTCAAACGGAGAAAGGGACGAAAGAGCTCTTTCATAGCTGTAAAGAACCCAGATCCGTGGGGCAGAGGCAGAACCGCTGCAGCCGGACTCAACGACGGTCCGTTCCCCTTCAGGGGCAGGTCTTTTTGGTTATTCGTGTTGCCATGCGATGTAAGCTCAGCATTCGGCACCGGAACCCCCCATCCATTTCGGGGCTCCACTGGGGGACAGTCCAAATCTCCCTTGGAAGGTGGTCACCGCTGCCGCAAAAAAAATCTGGCAGCATTTTCTGAGTGTGTAACAACTGCAAGAGGCGGGAGAGCTTGTGCAGGCAAAGAAGTCGGCATCACAACAAGCGCAAAGGGCATGTATAACTTGAGAACACCCCAACTGCACCCATGAGACAACGAAATCAGATGACGGGACGCCTTGTGACCACCCCACATGTCACGAGAAGGGCCAAAAGGTCACCCGGCCAGTGGCGAGCGCGAGGTTGTACCCGCGGGTCAAAGGGCAAGGACAAAGGGCTGAGATTGTGCACGCGAGTGGAAGGAAATGGTGAGAATGTCCTACCAGCGCGTGAAAAGCCAGCCGCTAGAATGTCATACCAGCGCGTGAAAAGCCAACAGCGAGAATGTCATACCAGCGCATGAAAAGCCAACAGCGAGAATGTAATACCAGAGCGTGAAAAGCCAACAGCGAGAATGTCCTACCAGCGCATGAAAAGCCAACAGCGAGAATGTCATACCAGTGCGTGAAAAGCCAACAGCGAGAATGTCATACCAGCACGTGAAAAGCCAACAGCGAGAATGTCATACCAGTACGTGAAAAGCCAACAGCGAGAATGTCATACCAGTGCGTGAAAAGCCAACAGCGAGAATGTCCTACCAGCGCATGAAAAGCCAACAGCGAGAATGTCCTACCAGCGCATGAAAAGCCGACAGCGAGAATGTCATACCAGCACGTGAAAAGCCAACAGCGAGAATGTCATAACAGCACGTGAAAAGCCAACGGCGAGAATGTCATAACAGCGTGTGAAAAGGCTACCGGCGATGTAATTTGTTCCAAAGCCGACTGTAAGCCTATGCCCAAGTGTGGAAGATGACCGTGAAGGTACACCTCGGTGTGAAAGCCAACAGTGATGTCGCACTCAAATGTGGAAGCAAACAGTGGCGTACCCGAAGCCGACGGTGATGTACTCCACACATTGAAGTCGACGGTGACATACTCCACAGGTCAAAGCAGCAGCGAGAGTGTACTCACGTGTCGAAGCAGACGGTAAGGTTGTAGACGGCGGCGAACTTTCCGCGCAGTCGCGACGCGGAGTAGGTGAAGCCCTTGGTGCGCGGCAGCAGCAGGTTGCGCAGCTCGGGCAGGCCCTTCTTGCGGGCCACCTCCATGCTGGCCTCATGCTTGGCGCGCGTGAAGCGTGTGCCCTCGCAGAAGATGAGCAGCTGGCGGTGGCAAAGGCAGTGAGCCCGTCAGCTGATGACATGCGAGCGGCGAGCGAGACGGGGTCGCAGTGGAGCAGGGAGGGAGATCACGGCACTGCAAGGAGCGGGCCAGGAGTGGTATGGGCGAGGGACTTCTGACATTCAAGGTAGCAAGCTCCTGTCTAACATAGAATGCTGAAAATGTTTTACTCCATAACTGAATCAAGCTTCAGTGGTGGAAAACCCCAGCCTTTGATGGCGGAACGCTACTCTCGAAACAGCATCGCAGCTCGGACACTGGCTAGATTTGAGCCCTACGGCCTGAAGAGTCAAGCCGTGGCGTCCCATCCCCTCAGGACCACACTCCGTCCCGCTCAGGGACGCCAGCCTGGACCACTCCTGGGGCGCCTCTGCGCCAGCGGGCCCGCCGCTCACCCAGACGGGGTCCGGGTAGTCGGCCAGCACGGCCAGCTGCCGATCAATGTGCTCCTTGTCGTCATCCCACTTGCGGCGCAGGAAGATGATGCTGGAGAACACCCACGACCAGCCGATGATGGGCACGTATCGGAGCATGTCCTTCACGTACACCTTGGCGCTCTGCGGACGGGTAAGGCCGGCGGCGCGGTCAGCAGCCGCGCCCCGAGGTCACGCGGCTGGACGACACCGCACCGCACGATAGGTGGTGCTTACGACCGCGTCGACCGCAGACGGCCCGCTCCGAGCGAGCGTCGGCGTTCGCGCGGCCGATGGCTACGGCTAGTGTTCCATCGGTCGGGCGTGTCAGCTCAATCAACATCAATACTGACATCGAGTTGGCTGCATTTGGTATTTCCACGTATTATTTATAATGGCCATAGCATGATCATATTGACCATTTCCTATTTATTTGCTGCAAAGATCGCTCGAAGTCTGACTGATTCTAACCATCAGCACTGTGCGCCAGACATCCCACACTGTACGGTCATTTAGCATTCCCACTGTCACCACAAAACATCAACGCTAATGTTAATGCAACTATGAAACCCCCTTTGATCACATCAGAGCACACCGTGAGAGCGGAAAGCCTCTCATCCCAGTAAAACACACTGTTCGAAAGCCTCAGGAGCCGGTCGTGGGAGCGCGCACACGGCGGCCCAGGGCGCTGGCCACAGCACACGCGGGCAGCCGCCGCCGGCGGGCGCCGCCGCCAACTCACGCCCAGAACGCTGCACCTGTCGGCTACGATCCAGCCCATGAGCCAGTCCACCTCGTAGGTGTGGTTCATGATGAGCAGCGCGTGCTCGTGGCCGAAGTACTTCATCGCGTCCTTGTCGACGTGGCAGCGGCAGTCTGAACCCGACCACCACTCGGCCAGGAAGAGCAGCTCTGCGGTCACGGGTCACTTGGGTCACCCCGGGGCTGACAGCCTCCTCCACTTTAGAGTTCTCTCTTCCTGAGTCCGCATCATTCCCTTCCGTATTGACGGGCTTGGGAAGTTACGTTCATGTCAGGAAAGACATTCATGTGAGTACAAATGCACATCACACAGATGGTGAATTGATTAGCGGAGTTCACGGGACGCGGATGATGATCTCCTCTTTCAAACTAGCATTACTGGCAGAGGATTGGAAAACAGGAGATTCACAGAAACTGGGGAAGGGGAGGGGGAGGGCGCCGTCCGTGCTGACGGCATGGGAGGAGCACTGCCGTAAGTTTGCAGTGTTTTTATGTTAATCTCTTTTGCTTCAGAGAGATGGCATGGTTAGAACTTACACATGAATTCATAAATACAACTATTTAAAAAATACTGTAAATCTGTACTGTACACATTGTCACAAATAAGCAGCAAAGACTTGAATAACCAATCAAGCAATGCTGCAGTCTGGACATGAAACATTCTGATCCTAACATAAAGATCATCACCCTGCCAGTACTGCCATACTTACCAGAGCAGATGACATAATGCAAATAATAATTGATCTTCTTGAAAAGCCTATCACTGAATGGATTGATGGTCACATAGAGGATCAGCTGGATCAAGTTGATGCACAAGCCAGACAAAAAGAATGTGACAGCCAGGCAAAGCTGTAGCAATGATAGTGTCTTCAGGGAGCTCAGTGTCCAAGCCATTGCAGCATATGCTCTGGAAAAAGCATAACCATTAGCTGAAAAAGATAAATAAGCCAAAAAAGGATGATCACATTTATAAAACAATCATCAGCATCTGCTAATCAAACACATAGGATATCATACAAAAGCATGGGGGGTGATAGATTACATCAGTGATCACAAACAAACAAAGAATGACATAAAACAGTGGGGAAGTATTGCCCCAAACAGCCTGCTTGGATCTTGCATAAACACATGTACAGTGTCATAGCACAGAAAACCATCACCATTCCACAAAAAGTTGATGTATCATTAGGTCACCAGATTCAGATAGAGGTGGCCTAACAGGCTTATAGGCTATTAGGCTTATTAGGCTATAGGCTTAGGCTAATAGGCTTCAGACTGATGGCCTAATAGGCTTATTTTACAAGGGTATTAGAAAGCTGTGAACACCATCTTCCTTTATATTTTGCAACTTGGAATGCTTTGCTCCAAAAAGCACTTCTTATTGCAGTTATAAGACCATAATCAAAAGATGTAGAAAAAACAGATTCAATCTTCATGCCTTATTACTCAGCTGCTTACTTTACTCAAGCCATTACAAATAATCCATACATATATAGCAGTAGAAATCAGGAATGTGTGCATGTCATACCATCCTCCCCCCTGCACACACACATAAATGCACTTTCCTGGTGCTATGGTGACATATGGTGCATTAACCACAATCATTTCTCTAGTAACATGTCTTATCTGGTAGTGCCAACATCTTCTGAACAATAAAAATGCACCCTTCAATCAAAAAAATCATCCATACTTTGGCCAAATTGCATGCATGAATCCTGCTATATTTTTGGGAGGAGATGGGTGGGTGGAGGGAATACATCTTGTCCAGCAGAGGTAGCAGAAGTTTGATCTCACCTTTGATAAAGTTAACCCCAACCTAAAATGAACAGCAGATTGCCATGCTGAACATGACACTTTAAGGGATCATAAACACAAAAACAACACAATATCACATACTTTGCATGTCTGGCCTGATGCCAAAGCTCTATTTACTTATAAACATCAGTAACACATGCTATGTTTATCCAATAACATATCTAAGTTCTTCATACATAAACATTAGGTTATAAAAATTGATACTAATGATTCATGCATGCACTACTTCAACAAATTTAATTATTCCTTTTAAAAAGAAAAAGCACAACATACTCTTACACATATGTGTGCCTTATGGGCATGGTCAAATCTCTAAATGTAAGCCTTTCACTACATGCCATTAAGACAGAGGTGGAGCATAAACTTCAGGCTGGGGCAGCTCATAATTTTTTAGGCAGAAATGATTGAATTTGGCCACTGAAGGATATCATGTGTTTACAATATAAAACTAGTCAGATAACAATGACCAAATCTGATGGCACGCCAGGTTTCAGAGGAGTGAGGTAAACAAAATCTGCAATGAATGAGGCAGCTTACTGTTCTGTTTTTGGCACCATTCTGTCTGCCCCCAAACCTTACTAGTACATCAGCCATGGTCACATCAACCCAGGGGCATAGCTAGATGAACTGTGCATGGGATGGGGTGTGGGATGTGCGGGATATTGAACGAGTTGGGTGTGTGGGGGCTGTGCAGTGAAAAACGACACACCTACCCCCAAGAGTAGGAAAGAAACTTGTTTCCCTCCTGCCTTCTCCACTTTTCTCCCAAACCGGGGGCTGATGCCCAAGTTGGGGACTAGAGCCCCCTACTGAATAGGAACTACATGTATGAATACTCCTTCATGGACTATTAAAATGGTGTACTTAAATCGGGCACTCAACTTCTATTCCGAAAAGGAAAATCACAAACCTTTACGCGTATCTATCTATGCAATATGCTGTGCGGATGAGCGATGATGACCGCTGCCACATTTGCTACGACCAAATACTAACAGCTCACTTCCGGGCACCCCCTCTGACTCACAAACCCTCCCACGGGTTCTGCACCCACGGATTGGGCCCGAGGCCCGCAACCCAATTTCAACCATAGCGCATGAATGCCTGTACTACGCCAGAATTGTAGTCACAGCGAAGGCTGACAAGAAGAAATGATGTAACCAAATTGTCAATGCTTTATCTGAGGTTGTGAGAGAAAATGGAAAACGGGCTGTTTACGGTGAGCACTACTGTCATTCATCACCCATGAAACTTCGTTGAAATTTTGAAATGAGATCCAACAGCTGAAATATGTCCTCATATTCATGACACAGAACTATGCTAACCACTTGAACCTACGATCAGAGCGTGAAAACAACAGAGTGCGTGGTTTTGAGAAATAAGTTGAAGGTTGAGGGGGAAAAATACTGGGAAAATGAGACCCCTTTCACGCTATGGCATGTATACATAATTGAGTGTCATACATTAATAGTTAACATTTCTAAGAAGACCCCAAACAATGAGCAGATCGGTTACAGGCGATTTTCATTTAAGACTTGCAAGACATTGCGCTAAATTCACAGCGAATTGCGTAAAATTAAAAACAGAATGCGTTTAATTCGGTTTTCATAGAGATTTGCTTGGGTGTGCCTCGTCACCCCCATCCCTAACCATCGTGAGATCCTCGGCACACCGCTAGCAACTGCCGTCTTTTACCATTTCTATCGAGTCAACGCCCCTACGGCAAATTATAAACTTTCGGGGCGTAATGGCTCAGCCCTCCTCCTTCCCCCCCCCCCCACCCCTGTTTCGTACCCGGTGGAAAATGGTTTAACGTTTCCCTAGAACACATCATATACGGATTTCATCTAGTTCCTTCCTAAACGTGACCGCCCTACCCTCTTCCCCGCCACGTCCCCACGCCCCAGATCATTCGACGCTACTGATAAAGGGACCGAATCGCGTTCCGCTGGCGCCAAAGCAAGTGTTTCAGGGACCTGGCCGCCTGCTGAAAGGGCGTGCCATGTCCCACAGGGACCGTCCCATGAACTAGGTCATGTTTTGAAGGGACCGGGTGGCGTATTTTCGGACCGAGTCACGTCTTGCAGGGGCCGGGTTATGTTCTGCAAGGGTCGGGTCATGTCTTACAGAGACCGGGTCACGTGTCACGGGGCGGGCCACATCCTTCCAGGAGCGGGTCACGTCCTGCAGTGAGAAGGCCGCTTCTCACAGAGCAGTTGCGAACACGAACTCGAAGGGGCCCAGCTGACGGGAAACCCCACAGGGCTACTTTACAGGGCGACAGATAGAGATCTCCGTTCTGATATTGTATTCCGTGGTTCCATATGCACAAGCTTGCCGACTCTCGGAAGACGTGGCGACGTTTATTGACCCAACTTTCACAAACCTCTACAATTACTGCAGGTTTGACCTCCATTTGCTACCGGAGGGAAACAAAACACTCATGCATCCCTTCTAGGTTTCTGCCACACTACCAACACACGTGCCGCAGGGGCTGTGTATCGTCCTTTAACGACCGTGCGTCGCCTCCTTCACGACGCTGCCTCTTCCGGTGGCACCGACGATCGCTGCTCTCACCTGGACGCCATTGTGGCCGATCCTGTCCGCCAGCCGGCTCACGCCTGCACAGCGGCCTGCCCCAGCTGCGCACGTTCTCGCGACCCCGATGTACTCACAAGACCCGGCCGTTGGTGCGCCGCGGCACCGGCAGCGTGAGAGTCCGGGCATCAGCCGAGCGTCCGATAACGGGGGACTTTGATCGCCGACAGCCGCCGATGACGTCATCCTCACCAGACGACGCAAGGTGCAGGTTTGTGGGGGACGGGTGCCGCTGTCCCAGAGGCTTGGCACAGGTGGAAGCGCGGGCAGGTGGGCACAGATCGCCGCGGCAGTGCAGTACGGTGGGGCGTAAAGCGCACAGAGCCTTTCGGGCGAATGGGAAGAATCTGTGGAGGGCTGTTGACGGATCAGGAGTGCCCAGGCATGTTAGCAGATAGTGCCACAACAGCAGCGAAGAGCCCTACAAGAAAATGCTGAGAGACCAACAACAACATGGAAGGCTTCTTAGCGGTAGAATTGACCCGACAAGTGGAGATAGGGCCCCGGCAACAGCGTAACGCCTGTGGACAGCGTGATGAGCCTCAAAATGTCTCCCACATCACCACCCGCTCAGTCATCGAAGAATTAACTTTACCTGCTCACGGGCTTTTCTCTTCCGCTTGGGACTGCTCTTCGGCGTCTGGAGGCCCAAAGACGTTCAATTTTGGTATGGTTTTGTTAAAAACTGCATCTTTTCAGCCGGTCACGTCACGTTTCAGCCGGTCACGTTCAGGAGCCTATGTGTCTCCCTTGGGGCACGAGGGGGTATGGTTCTGTGCCCCCCCCCCTACCTCTGGATCCGCCAGTAGCCCAAGCAGCGTGATCGATGGGGCCCCGAAGGAACAGAGAAATATTCAAAGAAATGAATGTATATATATATATATATATATATATATGTATATACATACATATATATATATATATATATATATATATATATATATATATCAATACCAACGACACAATGTAGAGGGTCCCCGAGCGATTAAGTGGGCCGGAGTAAGTTAACAGATAGGGCCCCTGATAAGAGCACAGAGCCCTCCATCCAAATAGGAAGTACCTAAGAGGCTCATTTTAGAAGGCCCCCGAACGATCAAGTGTGCCTGAGCAGTTTATCAAAAGGGGCCCTCGACGAGAGCGTTGGGCCCTCCATTCAAATAAAAAGTACCCGAGATCAAGTGTGGGGGGGGGGGGGCTCTTAAGGTCAAGTGTACGCAAACAGGCCATCAGATTACCCCTGAAGGAGCGTCTGGCCCTACATTTAAATACCAAAACCCAATGTGCAGGGCTCCCGAACAATCCAGTGTGCCCGGCAGTCTAAGAGAAAGGCCCCCGAAAAGAGCGTAGTGCCCTAAGCGAGCGACAAAGAATTGGAAAGGCGCTAGACCAATGTGGAGACCCATGGGCGTATTGTGAGTGTGTTGGTAAGTGAACCGAAACCAACGTGAAGGGCGCCTGAGCAACCGAGAATACCCCAGCAGGTTAGCATATGGAGCTCCCGGCTATAGCGTATAGAGCGTTTCGGGTGAATCGAAAGAATCAGTGGAAGGCCCCTGATTGACAGGACTGCCCCGGCATGCTTGCAGGAAGGCCCCTGATTGACAGGAGTACCCCGGCATGCTCGCAAGAAGGGCCCAGCAACAGCATAGGGTCCTCCGAGCGAATGCAAAGAAAGCAGGGGGACGTAGAAGGCTCCTAAACGATCGGATTGACCCTGCATGTAGGCATATTGGGCCCTCGGAAACAGCGTGGAGCCTCTGGACAGCGTAATGGGCCATACATCCTTCCAATCACCACCCTCTCAATAATTTAATATTATTTTTTTACCTATGGGCCCTTCACTTTTGCTTGCGACTGTTCCTGATCGCATGGAAGCACAAAGGCGTCCACTGTTGAAATAATTGGTGTAAAAACTGTGTCTGTTCGGCTGGCTATGGCCTCTTCAGACCAGAGGGGAAGTAGCATGGCCCCGTGCCCTCTCTGGATCCGCACCTGACTTATTTATGCAAAGTTTCTTTGCGCACTCTTTCCACTAACTTATGACATAAACCTTGAACCGACGAGTATTTAATTGTTTTAGGCTGACCTGTGCGCATGAAATACAAACGCTAACAACGTTCGTATCTGGTATGTTTGTAAAACCACACTCCTCGAAAAGGGGATGTTTGAAACATTTACATTTCTGCGAGACACGGTATTAAAAATAATTGCTTTTCAGCAGCTCGATAATCATGATATAGAACAGCATAAACGCAAATACTAAAGGCATCTGTTTACTTTCATCGACTTCTTCCCACATCTGAACGCTGTTGAGCTGCATGGACAGCTGTTCAGGACCTCACCTGTGGCGCTGCGTCCCTGCCGCCGCCGCCGCCGTTCAGTGTCACCAGTCGCCCCTCACCCCCAGCAGCCACTGCCTGACGCCCAGGTCACACGGGTAAACAATCGCTTTTTTGAGACGAATATGCGCATGGCGGAATGAGGAAGGTCGCCCGCTACCATCAGCTGGGCGACATAAACAGTTTGTCCTGTGTCTGCACCTCGCGGGAGGCCCGGACACGTGCTACTGTGCAGTTCGTGTCGCTAGGAGCGGCGCATCGAGACTGTCTCCGTCCAGCCCAGAGGTCAGAGGTCGCATGCTCACGGGACCACGAATCATACGTCTGTTTATGGATGTCTTGCTCGGTAACGTACATCGAGAGGACGAGCCGGCTAGGTGTGTTGCTAGTTCAAACATGCTGATGAGCAAATGTATCTGTATCATACATTAACCAGCAGAAAAGTGACGGAATTCATGAGGGCGTTCAATTTTGGGTTTGAAAGGCAACCCTCAGTTAGCTTCGGATAGGTCATGGCATTTGCTAAAGGCATTTCGATATCGTCCATAAACTGAACCCCGTGCATGTTACCTACATTCCAGCTTACATAAGGACGTGTGCAATGACATGATAAATGAAGGCATGACTAAACGGATACAGCGGAGATATAGCGACTGACAAGGACACACAGATAGCTCATGCTCCATGCACCAAATAAGGACCGCTTCGATGCTGTTTTATGCCGAACTCGACTATGCCGAAAAGGCTAGCAGATCTGGCGTTGTAGATGCTGGCGGCGGGCGGAGGGATTGCGTCCAAGCTCAGCAGCGCCAGCTGTTTTGACCCTGAGGCCGAAATGAAGCGTTCTAAACAGCTCATTGAACATGTCGATGCGCTAATACATAATAGTGTTGCAAATGTTGAGACATGTGGCATGGAAAATGCTGCCCTCTGAAATGCTAACCATCAGGGACATTATACTACCCAGTGGTATAAACATGTCAGAAAAGTCCTGAAGAAGGGGTGCTTCGAGATATTTAGGCAACTTCATCTTCTCAAAATTGAAAACATTTTGGACCGTTTCCAGCCATTTGTTCCTAACATTCGTCATTATTAGACCGCAGCAATCTCCAGCGGCAATTGCACAACTTTCGCGAAAGTTGGGTGGTTATGCATTCTCCCACCCCCGTTTCTGTAACAGCAAAAGAATGTCAGGACTCTCCTTGAATGAAAAACTCTTTTTATGGCACAAAAAGCTAGGACGTCTTCGTGACGTCCGCGCGATGTCTACGAGCACGTGACGTTTGCCAGGCAGGGTTGAGACACCAGTCGTGACCAGCATTGCTGTATGGTGTTCGCGTCGTGCCGTCAATGCCAGGACCTGAGAGCGGCCATTGCCGAGTAGGGCGTTAACACCCCTGAAGTCAGAGCTGACATTTGCCCCACAGATAGCCGACAGAAGCGGGTAACCGTGACTAGTCAGGCTACGGCATCAGCAGCCAGGCGTCGATCAAAGCGCGACAAAAACCAAGTCCGGGTCCAAGCCAGGCCCACAGTAACGAGAGGCTGAGCTCACGGGTGATGGTGTCTGCAGTCACGGTGCTTCAGGCTCAGATTACACCTGCTGCATCACGCGAGGCAGAGGCAGAGTTTACTGATGACAGGGCACACTGAAAGTGAACGGGGTCAAAGGCGATAGGTTCTACTTACATGAGTTCGAGTCCACGTCTGTCTGGAGATTCCGTCCATTTCTGGGTCACACGTCTTGAGCCTGAAAACGAGTCTGTACCAACCAATTTCACACTCTATGTAAGTGTGGATTTGCGAAATGTCATATAGTTTCGTGCATAATAACGTTAGAAGCAGGCATCTCACAGAAAATCAGACCATGAAAACCATACCGTAACTGTTGTGGGCTAGCTCCTCTTAGCCTAGGCGCCAAGATTCCCCCCCCCCCCTGTCCTTTCAAAGATGCCTTATGATACACTGCTGCGTATTGCTATAGCTTTCAGTGCTAGTTTGTAAATCATCGGTTATAAATAAATACCCTTTACGTTTATTTTATTGCCCGCAATGCTGCAGGCCGAGGGAGTCTATCTTAAACTACGATGCATTTTTCAACGTTGGGCGTGTGATCCGGCCCCGTGGGCGGCCGGTCCGGAGGGGCTGGGCCGGCCCCAGCCCTGCCCGGTCCGGCCGTCGCGCCTCCCAGACGCCAACAGGGTGCCAATCGCTGGCTCATGCAGTTTGCACCCATGCAAACGAGCTCAAGTGACATGAGAGTAACAGAGCTTCTGACGGAGGAGAAAACGGACGAAGGTACTGGCAAAGCGTGAGCCGATGTTCGCAGACGGCCACGCGCTGTCATGCGCTGTCGCGGATCCGCTCATCTGGGGCGTTTGTATTGATTTATGTTGAATTGCAGCAGCCAGAGCAGATAAAGCAATGATTTCGGCTACTGCATGGTGCACACTGATGTATCAGCTTCAACTCACCAAACAGATATGAAACATGAAGGACCTACAAGTCGGCCAGTATTCTACCGAAAAACAATCAGTGTTATCATTTCCTAACTTGAATCGAACGCGATATGATGCGGCCTGAATTGAGACGATGGGAATGTGCAGTTCTCAATCTTTTAGCCCTGTTAGTTGTGACCAATGTCAAAAAACGGCTGAAAAATATTGTTTTGATTACCATTTCATCGATATCATGGACTATTTGTTTGCATACTTTGCCATTATTAGGCCGCAGCTGTCTCATGCGGTAGATTCCAAACTTTTGCGAAAAGTGGGCGGTTAGGCGTTCACCTGCCCCCGTTTCTAAAGCGACAGAATAATCAGAATGTAATGACCCGCCCAAAATTCTATTCCTTGCATAGAGCGCTTAACGACTAAATGGCGTCAGCGCTAGGGAAATGGTTCTGTGCGATGTCTTTGAACACGTGATGTTTGCCAGGCACTATTGAGCCACCAGTCGTGACCGGTGTTGCTGCACGGTGTTCATGCCATGCCTTTAATAGGACCAAACCTGGTCAGACCCGGCCAAACCCACCGCCAGCCTTTTTTGAAGTGATGTTATTCGTTAAATAGTATCCGAGTTATAAGTCAAATGACCCCGCCTCAAGGTTGCTGCTTCTAAACTCGGTTGGAGGCGGAGGCAATACAAATTGGCCCAATCCACCCCCAAAACCTGATCTCTCCCCCAGATCTCGGTCACTTCAATGCTATGCTTTGTGGAGTCCCAATTGTTTTGCTTTAGAGGAACGACATCCAATGTTAAGGCGTTGTGAAGCTGCATGTTGTAAAAGTTACGAATAGGATATAAATCAAAGGGAAAACATCTCAGTAATTGGGGACCTTGCTATCGACGAAAATAGACATCGCTCAGCGTTCATGGAAGTTGGCCCGAGACCCCAAAAAAACGGTTCCTTGCAAAATAGCGTGGCCTGACACGCACGGTCGAGAACGTATGATACAAATTTTGAGTTAACTGCCGCAATGCGCTTATTAGTTAAAGGAAAACCGAACTTGCATGACCTTCCCAACAGGCATGCCGGTGGCTGGAAGAACAGAGCAGGTAAAGACTGGTAACGGAACAGGTCTCTAGAGTGGCTCTTTTTACAAAATGGCATGACCAAGCTGGGACACGTGTTTGAAGTTGATATAAGCAAACAAGTTATGGAATTTGGCTATTGCTGTGGGATTAGTTGGGTTTCCTCATGTGGAAAATAATTGTCCTTCAGTATACCAGTAAGTAGTGGTTGAACGGCGTCATCCAAAAGTGTTGGTTATGTATCGGGGACAGCTGTGCGACTGCAACGGTCAGATTTATTCGTAAAAGTCGATCAACAGCACCTCAACACCATTCCTTCCACTCTGGGACACGCCCCACAAAATGTGTTCGTTCTTCTCCTCGGCACCGTTTGGTGAAACAACCACGTTTAAGATACACCGCCAGACTACGCTTGAACTCATCCTGTCCCCTCAGTGACCTTCAGTCAGCCCCGATTCAGCCAGTCCAGCTTAATCCCCCGCGCTGTGGCTTCTCACCCGCCTGACTTGTCGCCCCGGACGACATGCTGTGGAATAAACTCAAGGATACGCCCGCGTGGACAAGCCGACAAACCCACAAAAGCTCAGTGTTACCCCCAGGCTTTCGATGGGGCGCATCACCGTATGCAATTTACCTTGCAATCGACTACCTGCAGGAGGGTCCGCTGCTCCGCTTTTTGGACTGACGGAAGATCCATCTGGAGCACCTTTTATGTCATGATTTGACGGGTGTGCAATCACTGATGACTGGCACTGTCGCTGACCGAGCTTTGCCATGTAGTTAGCGTTCAAATACCACCAAAGTCGCGATTATTCAACGCATTTTATTGTCACTGTTGGGGGAAGCATGGGCTAAATGTTATCTGGGATATCCCGCACTTTTAAAAGTTGCCGCATATCGCAGTCAATTTTTCCTTATCCCAATCCAGCCCTAACCATGCGGAAAACTTGTCTAGCATGTCGTTATTGGCCTGACACATGAAGAAGCTAACATGGCAAACATTGGGATAGCTACAGGAGGCTATTTGGTACGAACTGAACATGATGCTAATGGTAACGAGTCCCTTCACGTAACGCATCAGTGGTTAATATTTTTTCTGTATTTCTTTGACCTAGCATTCACTCTACTCATGTTCTGTGAGGAGGCTCAGAGAAACATTGGGGGACTTAAGCTGGGAGGAAGGGTGAAGCCCCCGAAAGTATATAAAGTGACGCCCTGCTCCTCTTGCCAAGCTCTGGTGAAAACCAGGCCAAATCTCCATCACACTACACCTTGCCGTACCGTGTGCATTGTGTGAACTGTGTTTGGACAGGTTGTCGAAGATGTCTGGTCGTATTAGCTCAGTTTTTCATCTCAAAATATGGAGACAACGTACAACTTTCACGTCCGTTGTTATCTAGCGCACCCACTCCGCACAATAACTTCCGACGTTATGTATGCAGTCTAACGATGGCATAGAATGTAGAGCTCAGCTAGTGGGCTACATAATAGATTCGTGACGTTGAGTTGCAGATGGAGCAAGCTCTTGCTGCTGTTTGATTCGTGAGTCTGAGTCCGATTCATTTATCGCGCCTATTGTGTCGCTTGAGTCAGTAGTTA